CCTAAACTTCAAAAGGCAACCCCAATCTAACCGCCCTTTTTCGCAAATACTAAAGCTGATGTAGGAATTCTTGTAATTTCCAAACAAACCAAAAAACAAATAATCGTGGCTCCATTTAAATCATGTGCAATCAAAGAATAATATGATACCATTTTCACCGGCTACAAATTTGAGAACAAAATAATTAATTTAAAACTCTAATACACTCAGTACCACAACAAAATAAATATTTGCACCAGATACAGAAGATGATTGTTATGTGGATTATAAACGAAGAAGAGTTTTTCATTATCTGAGGTACATTCAATGTGCTGAAAAATAAGTTTGACCTACACACTTCTAGTATCATCGCTTTGAAACGATTTGAATTGAAATGAGGCGATGCAGCATCATACTTAAAATTGTGCGGTATTATAGTTCGGATAACCAATAATTGCCACAAGTAGTTTCATGCTTGTTGAGTAATTTATCATCACAAATGAAGGTGCGTAATAATGACAATAGGCTCGCAAATAATATGATCTCGTCTTTTTGATGCAATAACTACCGTGATGTGGCACGTTCTGATCATGATGATAACAGGTGATGGGTACTCTCCTACAACCTACTGTTTCATTTTTATAGCCCAATGTCTACTCCATGACAAGGAATAGATACAAATTAACTTTCTAAAGAAATGGTAAGGACATAATGCTGGAAAAACATGTGAAAAGTTCCATTACTTGCATACCAAAAATTAACTCAGTATAAACATATAGACTGGAAAGATCTTCCCCTTTTTTCCATATGTTGTTTGATGTAACGTTGACTTAGCAAAAGTTGATATGTTTGAATAGATCGAAGGTTCTAATGAAATTTTTTTTTAGTGCAAGCTATGTTTCAAATTTATGAATCTGTAATGTTTCTTTAATCAATTGCAAAAGGCATCATTAAAAAAGGTAATGTAGTAGCTATTCTGGTCATTGTCCCATTTATTGACTATCGATATATTTCATGTAGTCTGAGTTATAAGCCACTTAACTTTACTGGGTAAAAGTGATATCTTAGTGGCACAACATTTGAAACACACGGCATCGGTGATTGTAAATCTCTTTTTTAATAATAGGTGATCAAGTGGTCTGAGCACTCTTTATCCAGCTTATACCTCATAGCAAATGTCGGAGTCATTGTTTGATTCGCTTAAAAAACTAGTGGAGATCCAGAGATTTGTTATAAGATTTGAGATCTTAGTCAAAAATATTATGTCATAAATCTTAGATTTGGATCTTAATCTGAGGTCTCTGTTTCAATTTGATTGGTCCAACCGAAAATTTATCTGCGAGATTCATCAACGAGATCCAGCACCTCAAACTGATGTCTGCAAGTAGAGGAGTCAGAGGTCCGATTTGGAAACAAACGATTCGAAATTTATAAATTTAATTCAAGGGTGTTGGGTTTGAGGTTTTAAGAATCAATAGATACAAGATTCAGATTTTGACCTGGGATCTATGGATCTAAATGTAAGATGTATAGATCAAGAGCTTTAATTTAGTATTTGTTATCACTTTAATTTTCTGTTTTATGTTGTTTGTTCACTTTGTAAATTTATACTGCAATTTTCAGAACCTTAAGATGATATACTAGATGATCTACTGCATGTTTTAGCGTTAACAGTTTGATTTGCAAATAAATATGTGGAGATTAAGGCCCTAATCTACGGGTTTGATTATCAGGTTTTGAGATCTAAGTCAAAAATTGGAGATTTGGATCTTGGACTGAGATCTTTGGATTTAAATATTAGAGTTATATCAAGATCTTTGGACGTATAATTGTGAATCGGATCTTAACGTGAGATCTCTGTTTTACTTGAGATCTAAGTCATAGATCAGAGATTTGGATCTTGGCCCGAGATGTTTGAATCTAAATATTAGATTTATAGATCAAGATCTTGGAACAAATTACGTGAGATCACTGTTTTACGTTGTTTTAGCCTTTCAAGTTTTTCACTCTGAGTTTAGCACCTTAAAATCACACATTTTGTTAGTTTTAGAGTTAGAGAGACGAGTCGATAGTTGAGAGTTTTTGATTTGTTGCTTTAGTTTGCTTCATTTGCAAAAAGTCGAGTCAAACTACACAGATTTTATCTTGTATTTTACATATCAGCCATCGATAAAACAAGTATAATTTGTAATCCTAATTTTGATGCCCCAGTTTGATAACGCACTTGTTGGCTCGAACTGACCCAGGTTTGTGAATTAATACAAAGATCAATATTGATATTCAGCAGAAAATTACAGATCTATTTTATTTGAATTCTGGTTATTCTGTTTCAACGTCCGTTATTCCAATCTTCTATCTCTCATGACATTTGAATAGCAGTTATCCTTCAATGCTATCAAAAAAGCCCAATCATACATATCCAAATACTTTGTCATAACACTGAGCTTATCATAAAAGTATTCTAAGCGTATCCAAAGACTTAGATAAAGCATAACAAAAACTTTGGATTGAGCATAACAAAATTTCACAAATCAGCATAACAAAAAACAAAAATCTAGCATAACAAAAACGTAAAAATTGCATAACAAAATACTTGGATGTAACATAACATAAATATCAGATTCAGCATAACAATAAATATAGATCTAGCATAACAGAAAATGTAGATCCAGCATAACAAAAAACTTGAAATTTGCATAACAAAAAAAGTAGATCTAGCATAACAAAAGACTTGGATGTAGCATAACATAAATATCAGATTCAGCATAACAATAAATATAGATCTAGCATAACAAAAAACTTGGATCTAGCATAACAAAAAATGTAGATTCAGCATAACAAAAAATGTAGATTCAGCATAACAGAAAATGTAGATCCAGCATAACAAAAAACTTGAAATTTGCATAACAAAAAAGTAGATCTAGCATAACAAAAAACTTGGATCTAGCATAACATAAAACATAGATCTAGCATAACAAAAAATGTAGATCCAGCATAACAAAAAGCTTAGAATTTGCATAACAAAAAAAGTAGATCTAGCATAACAAAAAACTTGGATCTAGCATAACAAAAAACTTGGATCTAGCATAACATAAAACATAGATTTAGCATAACAATATATGTAGATCTAGCATAACAAAAAACTTGGATCTAGCATAACATAAAACATAGATCTAGCATAACAAAAAGTGTAGATTCACCATAACAAAAAATTTAGATTCAGCATATCAAAAAACGTAAAATCTGCATAACAAAATACTTGAATCTAGCATTACATAAAACGTAATTCGGCATATCAAAAAAAAGCATTACACTGACTTTAAACGGAGTCGAACAAGCGTGTTATATAACCTCTGTAATGTTACTGACCACCTGGCCATTGATGAAACAAGATCTGAGTGGAAAATTAGTTGATAAAAATTTACCGAGATCTCCAGCCGAACCCGAATGTTTTGAAATACAATTTGGCGACACGACATTTGCGATATACTCTTAAACAATTTGAATATCGACTCTGATCCCTTCTTGCATTAACTCCTCCAATCTCTTGTCTCCAACTGATAGCACAATCAAGTGCTCATAAACATGCCGCTTTACCGCTCTGGTCGATCAATTTAGTGCTTCTAGATGCAACTGCGTCTATTGATCATAAAAATGATTTGATTCTCCACACTTAATCCCAATATCAGAAATGGTATATCAGATTCACTGGATCTATTCTTTTCTTATTGATTTGAATTGTAGGGCCAGAAATCTATGGCCAGTTTTCCGTTAATTTGTTCTAATTTTTGACCACATATTGACATCGTTTATACTCGAGCCAACTCTTTTGAACCAAACACCTTGTAGCCAACTACTTGGCTAAGTAATGTAGAGCTATTCCTTAACGTAATTTTCATTTTGCTCAAATTTGAAACAATCGTAGCCGGAATTAAACCATTTTACCCTTTTCAAACTATTTCTTAGAATAATTGATCAACCATTTATAGTAAACGATAGAAATTTTACGAATATATAGAAGTAGCTGAAGTAAAAATGAATAACTAAATGTTGTTGTGAAACGAACGAGATTTCTGAAGTAAGAATTGAATTTCTTGATTTTAAGCAAGTAATTATTCAATTTTTTATTTTACTAAGATTTTGCGTCGTGTCGTAAAAATGGAGAAAAGAAATTTGCTAAACCAATCATTTCCAGCATCAGTGATATGTAATACTTGTTTCACGAACAGAAGTAGCTATTTTAATGGTTTTTTGTTGTCTCGGCTGTATTAGCTTCAGCGTTTAAATTCAATGTCTTTTCAAATTTTCACCTAAGCCAACGTCTGCCTAACACAAGGATTTTAATTAATTTTGCAGCCAAAAAACAGAAAACGAGAAGATTTTCTATCTATAACAAATTCAAACCCTAACATCTTAGGATTTGAACCGTTTTATGCACCTCGAATCTAGATCAAAATCTAAAACAAATCAGATTCCAGGGGTCTTTTGTACTTAAATCTAGATCAAAACAAACTAAAATTTAGATCTGGTCAATTCTCAGCTACAATACGTACAGCATCTTGATTTTCCATATCTCTAGATCTGACCACAACATTACATTATTACTTACAGTATCTTGCTAAGCCATACCAAAGATATAACTACAACATTACCGCAATAGTTAAATTCATTTGAGATCCCGTTGGATCTTGATCTTAGATTTGAAACACTTCAGAACCACCATACTTAAATTGTAAAATATTAGCGAGACGTCCAAGGGTTAAGAGGTTAAAAACTATATGTTAACATCCTAGAACCAACAAACATCCACACACTCATGACTACAATTTTATCAAATCTTTATCAACCAATCAATTGTATAAAATATAAAATGATTAAACTTGTTACTTTAATGTTTATTACATGTTAATAAATTTTAGAAGAGTTCAATGAATGATGACTAGAAAAAATTACTTAAATGCTACCTCCAGTAATGTGTTGTTGGTGTTGTGCGTTTGTTATAATTTCAGATCTTGCTGTTCCTATCTTTGGTTTTTCCTAATTATATTCCTTCGTACTTTCCAAATCCCACCAACTTTAGGTTTTGCCTTGAAGCTTAGGTAAGGTATTCTATTGACTTGCTTTGTGGTGTTGGTTTTTGAATTATCAATGTGTTGTAAGAAATTAGGATACATTATTTCTGGTGCTGGTAAATTTCCCTCTCCACGGACTAATATGATTTTGTAATTGGAATTTAAATGGGTCTGAAGCTTTGAAATAACATCTGGTGGTGCATAAATGTTAAAATATTGTTCTTTGAAATTTATGCTGTGTATTGCTAGTAGTCCTAAAAATTGACTTTCTTGATCATCATTGCTTATCCTCTTTAGTGTTTCCATGTTTATCAAATTGGGGTACTTGCTTGAAGTATTTTTTGTAGGTGTAAAAGTTTTACTACTAGTTGCATAAATCCCCCATATCATTGTCTCCAAAAGCAAACGCAACAATGCAAATTCTTGAGTACTCTTTAACTTGTAATTCAAAACACATAATGCATTTATTCCAACTTCTGAGTTATTGATGCAATAACTTAATTTCAATGGTGGCACATCCAACATATATCTTGAAAAATCGAAACAATTATTTGAAATTTTATGAAAATATAACAATTTATTAATACATCTAATTTGACTAGCAGATAATTCTTGATTCGAGAAAATACCACTAACTAAATGTACATTTGAATATGATAATCCATTCAAAGTGGTTTGATTTTCTTCAGCATCTAATGATAATTTGTGAGATAAAAGACACAAATCTGATGGATTTATAATATTAGATATCTTTACCAATAATTCTTTACCATAGCCCTTAATCCATCCAGGGGTGTTAATGATCAAAACGTAACCTTTGTGCAAATATGTACTAGAATATGTATCGAATAGCCTCTGAACAATATTTAAAAACCTTGATGGGGATTCCATTGGACTTGTAAAGCCGTAATACAATTCAGTTTTGTCATCTTTTGAAAGATCTTCACAAAAGCTTGCTTCATAATGGATTGATAAAGACATACAATACGGTGATGAATATTCAGATTGGCCAGGATCAAGGTCCATTAATACTACTGGTCTTTTTCTGTGTAGCAACAAATAATCCATAAAACACTTGGAAAAAGTAGACTTTCCTGTATTTTTATGCCCGATTACCATGAGACTATTTAGTGGCGAGTTGGCTATCGATTTGAACATTTTGGACCAAGTATCTGGAATATATAAACCACATGATTCATCTTCGCTTTCCTTTATGACAATTTCAAACGTGTAGTTTCTGAATAGATTATCTTGATCAGACACTGCAGAAGATCTTTGTGAATAAATTTTATGAAGATTTTCAAGGCCATTTTTCAAATTTATTAGCTTTAAGACTGCAATATTGTCAGCTGATGCATGTGATACAATGGGTAATGCTTGAGCACCTGAAGATTTGAAAGAATATATTTTTTTGGAGTCAGAAGCCATATTATAGCAATTATTTAGTTGAACCTCTCCTTCTATTATCTCCATCTTGAATTGACCTTTGATAATTATAAATTCGGGGTTATGTAGTTTGAGTAGTATGTGATCATCGAAAAAATTTAAGTTTGTATTATTGGGTATGAAATTTGATTGTGAAATGATATTATGAGTGTTTGAATTCAAAGGACCTCCTTGTGGATTTGTGGTATCATCTTTATATAGTCGTGTTTGAGCCTCATTAGTAATTTCGTCACTATCTTCTTCCTCATTATCATCTTCATCATCAGAATCTTTAGTGTATTGTAAAATTGTATCATCTAATTCATCATTAACCATTGATTTATCATTTGATGGGTTTTGAGAGCCTGTCAACAGAAGTCCTGATTTAAGAGCAGCATAAGCACTCATTCAAAATTAACTATTCTAATTACTTCTTCTAATTTGCCTTGTTATGAAACTGCTAGTTGATCAAATTTGGGTTGATTATTCTTGTATCTCATCAATTGATTTTTCTATTTCTTCTGTGTTTTAAGATGGTTGATGAGCTCATACGATGCTGAAACCAAGTAGTTTTTGAATCAATAAGTGACTGGTTCAATAATATGAGGGTAATTTCAGGGGTAGTAAATCTTGTGATTAGATGCTTGTTAGATGATAATGTTAATTGAAAAGTGTTTCATTTAATTATTTCGCGCAGCTGCGATCTGGAAAATCGCATTTTTCAATTCATTCAAGAAATAGTTAAGATGTATTTACAGCAATTGAGAAAGGAGTACTTCTATAGCTCACTTAAAAGAAATTTACAATTAATTGATTATAAAAGATCGTATAGTTTCAAACTTCATTAACTGAACTAAACATTTAAAGCTTCCAGCGCTTTATAATTCTTCAATGTTTTTCAGAAAACACATGAATTGAATCTTGATTGTACTAAACTAAACTCTTCCCAAAGATTCTATTATGCCGGGTTCATTAAACCAAAGTAGCTACAATCTCCTGTGTATCAATTTGGATTGCAGCCCCCATATATCCCATGGATGACTACTAAGCAGCATCAGTATTAAATTTATCAAGAATTCCATTTATTTTGCCATGTACTTCCGTCATTTCACTAATTTTATCCAAATATAGTTTATAAACTTCATTTTGATATTGTAATTTTTTATCAAGAATGATTTCAATATCGTCAAATTCTGAATTTGATAATAACGATAATGAGGATTTTTCTAAATCTTTGGGCTCGTCCTTAGTTTGGTTAGGTTCTTCCTTAGTTTGGCCCTTCAGTTGCAATTCATGGGTGGTATCATTTTGAGATAGTAAGGCAGGTAGTAGTTCAGCAAATATGGTATTTTCGTAATCTTTAATTATTTCAAATAACTGTTTATTTTTCTGAATTTTAGAACCTAGTAGTTGATTCATAGATTCAATCTGACTTTTTAAGTCGGCCCCATCTTCGTCAGGTCCATCTTCATTTTTGGGGGTTTTGATATTATATTTTTGTTCTAGTAAATAGGAAATTAAACGATCAGTGGTCTTTCCATCGTTGGGTGGTACACTATTGTTATTCGCAATATCTTCTGGAAAATCAATAAAACTAGAGTCCAAATTGTGACAAATACTTGATAATTTCTCATTATTACTCTCAATTTCTCTGCTTAATTGATTTGTAAAGCTTATTAATGGTTCCAAATTCTCAGTTCTTAATAAGAATTGATTACTTGAATCGACACTATATGGATGACCACTCCCATTATTAGAACTATTATTATTATTATTATTATTATTATTGATGGTACTTTTACTATATTGCATAATAATATTTAGTATTTCATTTGAACACGTAATGATTAATGTTCCATTCTATTAAGGAAATCTAAAGTTTTCTATGGTGATATCTTAAAATCGTAAAGATCTCAAAATTATTAGATCGAAATATACGATCTTGAACTATATACAGTACTATGATACCAACAATTAGGATTTGCATTTAGTATAATATCTCTCACTGTTCACAGTATCAGTTTTTATTAACTACAGTCTAGCTTTCATCAAATTCATTAGTTTGTATATCCTTTCTTAAATTATTATACTTATTATACAAATTAAAATTCAAGTTCAAAAAAAATTATTATAATAATCATATACAAAGGTAGATCGTTTGATCTCTCATTTTCATTAATTTGGAAAGATAACCAGTACACAATTCGCTATTATCATCTGGACTGAATTCTTTGTAAAGTTTGAGCTGTTTTTCTCTCTTGCTTACCTTTTTTCATCACTTGTTTTAAAGCTACACTATCCAACGGATCCAACAATTCAAAAGAACATAACAATTCCTCAGAAACACTCATAACTGCACCCCAATTATCAAATTCACCACAATAATTTGGAGCTGAAAATACCGTGACTAAAGTTCTATCATTAAAAAATTCATAACCATCTTCAACAACCATATGAGCTCTACAAACTAAATCAAATCCAAATTTGCTTAAAAATTTATTTATAGCAACTTTTGAAAAAACATAAGATACTCCTCTTTCATTATCCTCCCATTCATTTATAGTATCTGCTGGATCTGACCATAATAGATCATTAAGTAATCCAAAATCTGGTACATCAGTAGGTCGTACAATATTTCTAATTTCATCCATTGAATTTAATACCGGTGATAATCCTCCATGAACACAAAAAATTTTACCAGCAACAATTGCAGCTATTGGTAAGGTATTAAAAGTATCTATAAACAATTTCCATGTTTTGATGTTACACCTTCTTTTACATTCATCATAAAATCCATAAACTCTTGTTACATTTGCACATTCATGATTCCCTCTTAATAAAAAGAAATTTTCTGGATATTTGATTTTGTAACATAATAATAATAGTATTGTTTCTAAACTTTGTTTACCTCTATCAACATAATCCCCAAGAAATAAATAATTAGTTTGAGGTGGGAAACCACATTTTGTAAAAATACGAATTAAATCACCATATTGTCCATGAACATCACCTACTACTTTAACTGGCGGTGATAATTCTAATAAAGATGGTTGTGATAAAAAGATCTCTCTTGCAGTTGCACATATTAATTGAATTTCTGTATTTTTCAAACAAACATTTTTAGTTCTTTTCCCACTATAACCAGCATCTAATAGTCTTTGAATTAAATCCTCTATATCAATTGTATTACTTCCTCCACCTATCGATGATGACGTTGTGGATTGTTTATGAAGATGATTATTCATTGTTGAAGCAGTTTTAGATAGTTCAGTTAGATCAGCTGCCAGCGACTGTCTACTACTTTGAATACTTTTACTATCTTCATTATTATTAATTGATAAATTTGGAGATTTTGGGGCTTGCAGTATGTCATTTGCTTCTTCATCATTTGGTTGAGAGTCAAAGTCTGACAAACCAGTTGGTTGTGGTGATAGATGATGATTTATAGACGGTATTGAATGATTGGTTGATGTCCTGGATATATTATTATTATTATTATTATTTGAATTATTTACTGAATTTGATAATGGTGAATTCATAGTCGGTGATTCTAATCCTGAAACACTAATAGTTGTATTAACAGTCTCATTTGTATTTCTCCTGATAAGTATAGGTTCTTTTGGTTGAAGTTGCATCATCGAAGGTGGTAAATTACTATTATCACTGAATGAAGTTGAATATATATTTGTTGAACTATTATTTCTTGAAAATGACGGTATTTCGGAATTAGTTTCGGCCGATGCATTTTTTTGTTGTATTGGAGTCGTACTAGATTCATTCAAGCCTTGATCATATTCGGTCCGATTATAATTTTCATTATTAGATCTTGGTCTAGATGGCGTTGAATTTAAATTATTATCATCACTATTTGAGATCAGCTCAGTCTGATTAGCACCATTATTGTTGTTATTATGGTTGAGTTTACTGCTGTTGTTATTATTTGAATTACCATTATTTATACTACTCAATGACAATTTACTTCTTATTGATCTTGAAGATTTTGCTGACGTGGAGGTATCTGTACGTTGTAATGGAGCTCCATTGAAATTTTTATTTCCTGGCTTAGATGAATTATTTCCCATGTCGTATTGCGAATGTTTGTATTATACTTTGAATGTAATTTGAAAAAAAGATTTAAGGGTTGAAAGATACTTGAATGGTTGAAAAATTTGGACAATATTCACGAAAACGAAAGCTGATGTATTTAAGAATACTTTTGATTATAAAAATTGTTGTATAAGTGAATGAATCTGGACAAAATATGATGTCTTCTTCAATTAATGTTTAGGATATAATTACTTGTTTTGATCGATATTATTGAATGTAATTAGAATGATGGAATATATGTATATTGTACAAAGTATTTGAAATCTATCAATTATTTGATCTAAACGATATCAATGAATGTACAATTTTTTGAAAACGATTACTGTAATAAGTATTTAGTATTAAAACTTAGATGTAATCAAATGAAGTAGAAATTATTATTATTCCGACCTTTGCTTTTAATTTCTTCTCTCCAATTTTTTTTTGTATGTGTAGAATTTAATTATTGATATGTTGCTACCAAATAATCAAATTTAGATAAGATGTTTTACAGATATTTGTATGTACGAAATGTTATTACTTTTATTCATTGCAACATAAAAGAAATATGATTAAAAGGAGAGTTTACAACTATAATACTGATCTAAAATTGATCTAAAATTTGACCAGTTTTTGTTCAACTTAAAAACTATTCAATGAACTATCAACTTCAAGTTTTATTTGTATTAAAAAAAAAAAGGCAGTGTCCAGTTAGGGAACTTAAGTTCCCAATATTTCATCTCTAAAATGTCTTTGGAAATTGATCTTTTTAGGTTTCATTTTTCTAACTTGATCACTTTTAATTTTATTTTCAATTTTTTGAGTTTCCCTTTGTTGTTTAGAAATTTCTCTAAAAGATAAACCAGAAGCAAATCTTCTATCAACCAAAGCTTGAGTTTTTCTACCTTCATCATCATTTGATACTGGTAAGGCAATATTTTGACGATAATATCTTTGCATTGATCTATGTCCAATTCTGGAACCTATAGGAGTTGTTAGTTCAACACCAGATGGATCAATGTGTACTAAAGAATAATTATTGTTTATTTCTTCTTCTCCATTTGTTGAACTTTCTTCCCTTTCTTCTTCTTGATCATTATATGTTTCATCATTAGCTGACGCATCGGAATCTATATAGACAATTGATTCTGTCGGGTCATCATTAAATCCAACTTTCTTCGAAGTAGGTGAATTCTTACTTCGTTTTGTTTTATCTTCATCATCAACTGTGAAATCATAATATTTAGCCAAACGTAATTTTTCGTCTTTAGTTTCATAAGGAATCTTACAATGACCCTTAGATTTGACATGTTGTCTAATACTTTCTAAATTTCTTCCTTGAAAACCACATACAGAACAATTAAAGCTTGATATGATTGTACTTAGATATATTAGTAGTCCTTCCATATCCATTAAAAATGACCTTTCAGGAATGTACAAGCCATGACTATTAAACATATGTTTTATGTTTCTTTCTGTATCCACATTTTCAACACCACAGAAGAAGCAATTCGTGATCGGAATAATTTTTGATCGTTCTTCTTCATCCTCTAAATTCTCATCATCAACTTCGTCTTCTTCTTCCTCATCCTCAACTTCGTCTTCTTCTTCCTCATCCTCTAATGGCATTTGAAGATCTTCATAATCTGTAAAATCTGATGATTCCGTATAATTTAATTCTGAACCAGTATGTATCGGTTCAATCTCATGATAACCTTCAGAATCATTAAGTGAAAATTGTGAAAAATCCGATGCAACTGAACCAGCAGGACTTGTACTCCTTTCTATAGCAGCAAAATCTTTTGCTTCAGTAATTATTCTTTCTATAGAACGACCTCTTGAATTATTTCTAATACTATAACCATTTTTCAAATTTTGTTTATTTGAATTGTTCTTCTTCTTCCTAGTTGCAACATAAAACCCATATTCATCTTCATTTTCATTTCTATTGTCTGACCTTAATTTTGAACTTAAGATTTTTTCAGCAAATACATCAGATGATATTGAAGGTAATTGTGCAATCCTTCTCTTCAAATTGTATCTATGGAATTCTGTCTTCATGTGTTGTCTCTGTAAATCGGCATTAACAAATTTTAGACTACATGTATTACATGTGAATAAACTAGTCTCTGGATTAGATCCGCTTGGTAAAAAACTCATAATTCTGTCTTATTTTAAATTAAACCTATTTTGAGGAGATAGTGAATGTCTTATTTTCGATAAACTTTAACTTGAGGAGATATTAACTGTCTTATCTTTAACGAATTTTAACTTAAAAAGATAGTGAAATATTGAAAAAAAAAGCAAGATGAACTTTGGATTAATCTTTTAGTTTATTTTTATAATTTTCCTATCGTAAAATTGGGGGTGGAGAATTAAAAAATTTGAAAGTAAAAAATTTCTAATTGAATTAATTACGCAAATAATTAATCAACTTATAGAAATTGAAATTACCCTTTTAGATTGAACAAACTGAGATCGTGATCCAGATCTTCGAAATATTAGATTTTCCTCATTCTGATGATAGATCTTATGTAATTAATTGATCTCATACAAACTTTAAAAAATTTGGTAGCGTGGGGTTTTCAATTGTTATTAGCGAAAAAATTATATAGTAAGAAAAATTTTAGTGTTACAATCTTTATTGTCTTATTCAATCAACTAAATCTAGATATAATAATGGGAGTAGTGGTGTTTGGTAAATCAATAAAGCACAATTTTCCAGTAAGGATTGGTCTTGCAAAAACCATATTTGGAATTGGTCCAACAACTGCTTCAAAATTAATGGCCAAAATTGGAATATATCCAAATTGTAAAATGAATCAATTAACAGAACCACAAATTATGGATCTTAATAAAGAAATATCACAATTGTTAGTAGAAGGTCATTTAAAACATAAAATAAATAACGATATCAAAATGAAAAGAGATATTGGTTCATTCGCTGGATTTAGACATGCTTGGGGATTTCCAGTAAGAGGACAAAGAACTAAAACTAATGCAAATACTGCTAGAAGATTGAATAAACTAGAAAGGTTCAGGCTATAAATTATTGGGTATCACTTATTTAATGACTTCGGGGGACGTATACTTTAAAAATCTTATTTTAATTCTGTAAATAGATAACGAATAAACACATATATCATAATGATGAAAGCCACGACAAATGATGAGAGGAACCTCTGTATTCAAACTATCAAGATTTTAATGAGATATTATAGTATTGTTTAGGCTGTACGGACTGAAATATATATAATACAATATCTAGATCAAAAACAGCGGTTACAAAAGCACGAGTTAATAGACAAGAATATAGAATTAGACGCAACGCCATGAGTGAGATCTATTGATAGTCAGCGTATTGGCTGCAAGTGTCAAAAGAATAGAAAACAGCATCTGAAAAAAAAATAGAAATTTCAAGTCAATATGGTCCCTAGCAGGATCGAACTGCTGATCTTGGCGTTATTAGCACCACGCCTTAACCAACTGGGCCAAGGGACCATTTTCACGTTTTAAATTTTTGTGCTTTTTTTTGTAGACAATTTTTATGACTATTTTTTGGTGTTATCTTGCTTGCTGCGTCTAGCTCGCTAAATCACATATGGCGGTAACAAATGCTTATTGCATCCATGGTCCATTGTCATCAGTCACTCGTAGAAGATAGAACCATCTTTTAGCTAATGACAGAGATTGTTTTAGCTGCCAGAAATAAACAACATTAATTGAGACTTGCAAATACGTAGGACTCAATTCCAACGGAGAAATAGTCGAGTAAGTCATGCATTTAATTTTCTATATAAAATGAGTAAGTACGTATTAAATATTGGTGAGACCGCTATAGTAATCTCATGATAATGCGTTACCTTTTAGTTGAGATTAAAAAAAATGATACATGACATTCTGAATACTTTTACTAATTCATCTTTCACTAGCTTTGTACTGAATAAATCTTTCCAAATTAATCCGGGTTTCCTCCATTTTCAATTTCAATTGAGGTTCTTTATTCTTATCGATTTTCTTGTAAATTTCTTTTAATTTTGGTTCTAGATTCTTTAAAATAGTTAAATAATCATTTTGAACAAAAATTTCATAATCATAATCAAATTCTTTATCACCAAATATATCATAAATCATATTTAAGCTTTCAATTATAATTTCCAAATTTGTTACTGATTTTATATTTTCACAAGCTGTATTTACTGAATCTAATAAAAATTGTGATATTTTGAAAGTGATTTCTTTGTTTTTGATAATTGGTGCAATGGAACCTAAAACCCCAATTACGTTTAAGTTATCTTCAGCTAATTGAACAGTTAACAATTTTTCAATTAATTCTATTGGTATCTTTTCTGAGATTTCAGGACCTAAACTTTTTAAAATAGCCCAAAGTATACTTAAACTTGACTTTTGCAATTGTTCATCATTTATTGTTAATATAAGATCCCAAAGTTGTAAAGATTTGTCATACCAAGAGACTGGAAGATGTTCATTACTTAAAATAAGCCAACAGAAATTATTTATTGCACCTAATATTGATTCACTTAGCAGCAATATCTTTTCACTTAATTCAAATTGTAGTATTTCTAGTAGCATTGGTTCTATCTCTTGGAATAATATATTTTCAGTCTCAGGAGAAAGTGTAATAGGTTCGTTTGGATCTTCTTCATTTACCGCCAAGTATTCAAGAACTGACGTTATAATTGTTAAACCAGTTTCAATAGTTGAAAGGTCAATTTTTGTTTCTCTTTTCACATCATTGTTTGCTGATAAATCTGTCTCTATTGTATTGGAGTCTTTTTTTATTGGTTCATTTGCATTATTTGGATTTTGTATCGAATTAATTCGAGATTTTAATTGTTGTAAATCAATGCTAATTAATATGCTATAAATCTGATGCAATATGTTGCACATTACTTCTTGTTTATTTTCAAATGATGCTTCCAAAACTTCATAATTATTATATTTGATCCCTTCAATGTACACTTTACTTAATTTACTATTTGAATCCCCAATATACGAAATTAGTTTGTCCCAACTATCGAAGTTTTTGCATTTCTCAACAAATTCCACAGATTCAGTTGAAAATTCATAAATAAAATCAAGCAATGCATCAAATAACTTAGACACTTTGAAACTCCCATTTATATGATTTTTCAACAATTTGAAAACAAGATCTATTATAGGATCAATTTTATTAAATATAGATTCATAAATTTCTTCATCTCCACTTGCCAATGTAATAATTAGGCTCAATATATTTTCTGCAAAATCATATAACAATTGAATCTTCGATTTATCTTTTTCAACATTACCCTTTTCTGCTAAAAGTTTGAAAGAAACATCAATCTTGTTCAATGCATTTTCAATACTAGTCCATATTCCTTGTCTCCATAAAAATTTAATTACATCATATCCAGATTCAATTCCTAAATTTCTTAATAAACCAAATGCTTCCACTACTATTTCATCATTTGAATCATTTAAACAAGTTTCCATAACGACTTGTACTATTTTGTCTTTAAGAAGTAGTTGCCTCATTCTGAAATCTTCTGCAAGAACAGTTATTGCTCCCAATGCCATTGATTTATCGTTTGGAATGGTTGATTTTAATTTATTTATTAATGGTAGAATCTTGGATTGTCTGGTTGTTTCATCTTTTTTAACTTCTTGTTGAGATTTTGACGCTATCGGATTCAATCTATTTTTGGTATTCTTTCTTCCTTTCTTCAATTTACCCATCTTCGGTGATACTATTATACAATGTAGGTTATATTACTTTCTTCGTTTTTATTTAATTTATGGATCTGAAAAAAAAATCTTAGATCTACTTTTTAGTGGAGAGATGACATTCTCGACCTAAATATTTTAGTACCACGATAAAGCACCTACCAGTATCAGAAACTCGCTAAAAGCTTATTAAAAAGCCTTAGTCATCGATAGTAAGCAAATGCTTTTTAACAGCTCAGTTTCGGCCCCGGTTCGTCTTATACTTTTATGGCTCTGCGATTAAATAACGCTTTTTTACAATATCGATACTTAGATTTTAAGCTAATTTGAGGAGGCATGTTTCCGTGCCTCCAGCTAGCCACGATGGTGTGGAGCAGTCTAATTATTTGCCAGTTCTTTATTGTGATGACTTCTTACGACTTACTATGCTCAATCACTTATGTAAAGTACTTATTTTGCAACAAAATAATAAAATTTGGAACCAAATTGATGCGAAAAAAGACAAAACTCAACCAAGTCCTAAAAGTTTTGTTTGAACTACAGTTAATACTTGCTCTAGTACACAGGATGTTCCCGGTCTCAGTAAGCACTTTTTAGCTAGGTACTTATGCCTTGTCCTTTTTCACTAAACATTTTTGTATGCTTTGATAATGATCTAATGAGTATTAATGGGTTCATTTTAGGAAAGACAAAGTGGCGGTTGACATAAAGTTGAGGTACTGAACTTGAGATAGGCACAGCTGATATAGCATTTTATATTCCATAGCTATACTCTCTTTGATATTATTCCTTTTGCTGTATAATACCTTTCTATACATTGTTTAAATAAACCAATGTACTATTCATTTGGACTAATATTATACTTATTCACTGTCGTCAATTAAATTCCTATGATACTCATGTTAACATTCACCCACTAAAGTAAGCCTATATTATAATAAATTGGTATATCATATGCGTTTGCAACGATGGTTCTGACACAAACTAACTTCAATATATAACAAATGTGGTCACCAAAACCCACAAATTGATTTCACGAAAATAGTCAGAAAAATATAACTTCATGTCTGAGCCCATTTTCAACGATAAATTTGGCATTCTTCAAGCCCCATACATGGTCGACCTCAAGTTCAATTTTAAACTTAATATTAAATTCGGCTCAAAAATCCTACCTTTCTCACCGTAGTTTGTGTTAAATCTAAGCCTTTTAAAGCAAATAAGGTTTTTTAAATAAAAGGTTGGTAACTAGAAGCTAGAACAAATGATGATGATCAATTGTTAGTCTATTAATCTACCTCCAATCAATAAATATTAATGCTTTCAATAATCATGTTTCAGATTTTCTGCTACCAAGTAATTCAAGGTTTTGTACCACATGCTCAACAGTAGATTGCAAATTTAAACATATCAAATAAATGATAACATGATATTTTCTTTATCTTGATTATCATAAAGGCATTTTTTGCAAAGAGCTAAACAAAAAGCAGTAATAACACTACAAAAATAACACATTGCATTAATTCAACGATAAATCACTAACTAAGACTGTGGGAACTAAAGCGGGACTCTGTTGAGTGGATCTTATAGGGTGAAACTTGAGGTTTCCGACAGCTTTCCTGACCTTGTCGTATCTTATTCTAAAAGATATAGACTATATTTACTCATTGAAAATAAAGTACCCTAGAAAATTCTCAGAATGGGGTGGTTCACAACTAAGAACAATAATTTTGTTGCAAAATTTAGGAACATGTCTCTGTACAGCTTCATTATTTGCACAATTGCTGCCATAAAAGTGTTGAGAATGTCACAAAAATAATGCCTATTGGTTCTTGATGGTACTCAGAGATCCAAATATGGCTCAATAGTCTGTGAAACTACCCCTAAAAAAATTTGAGAATTTACCATTTTGCGCCCGAACATTTCATTTTTTTTCCTCTATTTTTTTTTATTGCATCTCTGTATTTCCTAACTCTTCAACTATCCACTGAACCAGGTCTCATTGCGTAATATTCTCTGGTTGTTGAGATATAAAGGAAAACGTCTAACTCACTCAAATGAGTAGCTATGGGACCCTAAGTAATTTTAGAAGCTAGATCTTGATTTGAATAGACTAAAAAATAATTCCCTGTGCTGATAACTCCCTCAGGTAAGGAGATACGGGCCAATTTAGTTTTGGCCAAGGTTCATGTAAATATTACACAAAACCGGGGTTGTACCTCCGAGGTCACGTTTTTAGTTTTTGTGGCATAGTGGCTAGCACTTTCAATCTTTAGGGTACCGGGCTCGAACCTGTTTCAAATATTTTTGTAAACGGAGGTATAGTACCGAGCACGTGTGCATATCTGTGTGGCATAATGGCTAGCCTTTTGAGTCCAGAACTCAAACTTTTGAGCTCGAAACTAAAGATAAGCAAAAATTTAAGGCAAAAAATTACACAAAACCAAACTCATTGAAAACTAGACTTTTTCCAATTCTAAAAGCAAGGAACTAAAGTCCAAGAAATTTCAATAATTTTGAAGTACTTTGAGGCACGATTGCTATCAAAGTGATAGAGATATTGGCAGTTTAGATTTTGGCACTTTTTAGGTTGAAAATTACACAAAAGGAACAAGACAAATTACACAAAACGAATACAGTCTTTCAACTTAAACAAATTACCCTAAACGGAAGCTGATATTTAGCTGATCTATTTGATAAGTTCAAATCTCTTTAGCTACTAAGGTGGTGGAAAGATTTAACAAATAAAACTGCAAAATTATTACGTAAGCATACATAATATTTCGGTGTTATAGCGCAGCTCACGTGATTTAGATATGTTACGAACTAAAAGTGTACGCTACACTTCAAGACTAAGTACAAACAAGGTAGTAAGTATATAAAGAGACATATGAATACTATACAGTATGACTACTAAAAAGTAATACTTTACAGAAACTAGAGCTTGTACAGTATAGGAGTAACAACTATAATTATAATAGAATAATAAAGCAAAAGCTACCAATTACAAGATGTTAATAAATTCCGATTTTAACCATATTGCTAAATTAATTATTTTTTTTTTATATCACAACCACTACCACTATCAATTTTATTATATTTAGATTATCATCTTTTTTAACATTACATTTATACATATATCATTAATCAATCAGTTTTAATAATAATATAATAATAGCAGATATATAATATATCAAATAGTTTTAATCAAAAATACATTTATATACCCGTATACATTATTCATATATATATATATATATTAATAGAATCTAATCAAATTATTCAACATTATTCATATATCCTTCATTTTTCATTTAATCATATCTAATTATTTTCAATTAAATTAAATATTCAATTCAAAAGAAGTATATTAATAATATAAATTATTCATAATCAATAATGTCATATGTATTATCAACGAAACCAAAACTATTATATCTTACAAATAAACAATTACAAACAATAAGTAAAAGATTAATAACATCAACTACAAAATCATCAATATCATCATCAAAATTATTAAATTTATCAAAATATTTATTTAAATCAATACCTAAAAATGAACAACAACAATATCAAAAACAAGGTAAAAATGTTGCATTAGTTTCTGGAATAATTATAATTGGTTCTTATATTGCATTTAATCAATCAAATTATTATAATTTAGATACTTTACCACTGCTGCAATCATCTACTTCATCTTCATCAAATCAATTATTAACTTCAAATACTTCATCAACTATAACATCACCAAAATTATTAGAAGACAAAAAATTGTTTTCAACTTCAACTTCATCAATGCATCAAAAAAATAGTATAAGTCATCAACAACATAAAGAAGGTATATTTTTATTAAATGATGAACAAGTTGACACTAAATTAAGACAATTTGAAGAAAGTTATAATGTAAATAGAGGTAAAGGAGTTACAAGATATGATATATGTCAATTACCTTCAAATTCTCCAATTGAAGATGATAGAGCTGAAGAAATTATTCAAGTACCAATTTTACAAGATAATAATATTAAGACAACAACTGATTGGATGTTTTTTGGAGTATTTGATGGTCATGGAGGTTGGACTACAAGTTCAAAATTAAGAGATCAATTAATAAATTATGTTATAAATGAATTAGGTACTATTTATAAACCAGTACAAGGTGAAGAAAATTTAAGATATGTACCAAATAGTGCAACAATAGATCAAGCTATTAAAAATGGTTTTTTAAAATTAGATCATGAAATTGTAAATAAAAATATTGAAAAATTATTGACTGATAACAATAAGGCAAAAGCAGCTGAATTATTAATGCCTGCATTATCTGGTTCATGTGCATTATTATCATTTTATGATACAAATTCCAAAATGTTAAAAGTTGCAGTTACTGGTGATTCAAGAGCTATTTTAGGATCTTTCAAAGATAATCAATGGACAGCAAAACAATTAAGTATTGATCAAACTGGTGCAAATCCAACAGAAGTTGCTAGAATAATAAGTGAACATCCAGATGAACCAAAAGTTATAAGAAATGGTAGAGTTTTAGGCAGTCTAGAACCAACAAGAGCTTTTGGAGATTGTCGTTATAAATTACCAGCATCAATACAAGAAAGAATCTACAAGCAATTTTTTGGTAAAAGATTACCAAATCATTTAAAATCTCCACCATATGTTACAGCAGAACCAGTAATAACAACAACAAAAATAAATCCTGATAATAATGAATTTTTAGTATTAGCAAGTGATGGATTATATGAAATGTTAACAAATGAAGAAATTGTTGGATTAGTTGTTAAATGGATGGAAAGAGAAAAAATGGTTAAACCTCAAAAATCGTTTTGGAATTTTTTTGGTAAAGTTGGAGAAAATAAATTACCAGAAGTTGAAGATATAACAATGGATAAAGCAAGTAAAAAACCTTTTAGAAAATCTACAGGTGGTGGTAGCTTTTTATTACAAGATAAAAATGTATCAACTCATTTAATTAGAAATGCTTTATCAAATGGTGGATCAAAAGAACAAACTTCAATGATTATTTCAATACCGAATCCTGTATCAAGAAGATATAGAGATGATTTGACTGTAACTGTGGTATTTTTTGGAAATGATATAGCAAGCGATGAAAATGGAAAGTTAGAAATTAATTCGAATGCAACAGCTGGTGGACCTGATGCTTCAAAACCAAAGTTATAATGAAAGTGATTGAATTTCTAAGTTATATATTATGAAATATGTTAATTTGTATTTAAATATTCATATAAATTCTATAAAATATTATAAACAAAGTCTTTCATTAATGATGGATAATAACTTAATATATGTAATACTTGAATCTCTTTGGTGAGAATCCAATGATGGTAAATTGGTGATAAAATATTGCAAAAAAAAACAAAGTATTTGACCGAGCATATAAATTTTATGAAACACAAAATAAATTAATGTGGGGAGTAAAAAAAATTTTTATCTATTGGATTCAATAACCGAAAGTTAAAACCCAAGCGGTATAATTTATTAGAGAAATTGAGTTATTTCAAAGATTTGAACAATTTAATATCAATCCATCAATCATGTCAGAAGAATTAAAGAATAAGGATTTAGCATCTGTTACTACTGAAAACACAACTACAACAGAACCAGTTTCAGAATCTAAAAAAGATACCACTAAAGATACTCCTACTACAACAGAAAAAGCACAAACTAAATCAACAGCTGAAGATGTCGATGATTTAGATGATTTATTAGATGATTTTGCAGATGAAGTACTAAGCAAACCACCTGGATCAACAGTAGAATCACAAACTCAAAAATCACAATCACAATCAATACCACAACCTCCACCACCAACTTCTAAAACTGATCCATTAAATGAAGATTTTCAAAATTCAATATCAGAATTAATAAAAGATATGAAAATAGAAGATCCAGAAACTCAAAAACAATTTGAAACATTAGTTAAACAATTTGAAACAAATCATAGAGAAGAAGTTGAAACTCAAGAATCAAAACCTGCAAATTTTGAATATGTTATGAAAGAAACTATGGAAAGATTACGTAAATCAGGTGAAGATATTGATTCCAAAATTAAAAATGACTCAATGGGTACTAATCCTGAAGATTTATTAACTCAATTATTAGCAGGTATGGGTGGTGATTCAGCATTAGGTGGAGGAGATATGGATATGAGTAAATTATTAGTTGATATGTTGGAACAATTAAGTTCAAAAGAAGTCTTATATGAACCAATAAAAGATTTAAATAAAAAATTTCCACAATATTTAAAAGATAACAAAGAAAAATTAGAACCTAAAAAATATGAAAATTATAATAATCAGTATGAAATAACTAATGATATTTTAAAAATTTTTGATAGTTCCGATTATAATGATTCAAATAAACAACAAAGAGATCAAATTAATTCAATGTTGGAAAGTTTACAAGAATTAGGTCAACCACCAACTGAATTAGTTGGTGAAACTGGTGATTTCTTACCTGGATTTGGTGGAGGAGCTGGTGGTGCAGGAGGATTTGATTTCAATGATAAAGATTTACCACCAGATTTAGAAAAAAATTTACAAGAAGGTTGTCAACAACAATAGAGGAAAAATACCAGTGGCTTAAAGTTTTTTTTTTTGAAATACATTTTTGGAGAATATTTATTTACATTTTTAGACCAGATCTATTTGCAAAATCTATATAGTATTGTAACATTTCAGGAGTTATACCTTTTGAAATTCCCTTTAATGCATGTTCAAAATGTTTATTTTCCACAGTTTTAGCATTTCTATTTTCCATTATAGCATTAAGACCAGCTTCCTGACATAATAAAGTAACTTCTGCACCTGAACAACCTTCAGTTAAACTAGCATAAACTTTCAAGTCAACATCTTTAGATAAATTGAATTTGTTGGAACAATTTTGTAAAATTTGTAATCTTGCATCATAATCTGGTGGTGCAACATAAATATGTCTATCTAATCTTCCAGGTCTTAATAAAGCAGCATCAATTTCTGATGGTTTATTAGTTGCTCCAATAATTACAACACCTTTTAATTCCTCAACACCATCAATTTCATTTAATAAAGAAGTTAAAACATTTTTAGATGCAGTAGTCCCTTCACCATCTCTATCACCAGCAATTGCATCAATTTCATCTAAAAAAATTATTGATGGTGATGCAGCTCTTGCTTTTCTAAAGATTTCTCTTATTGTCCTTTCACTTTCACCAACATATTTATTAAAAATCTCTGGACCTTTAATAGCCAAAAAGTTAAGTCCTGATTCAGTAGCTAATGCTTTTGCTGTTAAAGTTTTGGAACAACCTGGAGGTCCATAAAGTAGAACACCTTTTGGTGCATTTACACCTAAATTTTTGAAAGATTCTGAAGCTTCTAGTGGCATTTGAACAACTTCTATTAGTTTTCTTTTTAATTCTTCTTGTCCTCCAATATCTGACCAGTGAACCTTTGGCATTTCCAAAAAAATTTCTCTCATAGCAGATGGTCTTATTTCAGTTAATGCATCATTTACATCTTCAAGTGTTACTTTGATATCTTTTTGAGGAATACTATTAGCTAAACCTCTGTTAATTGCTTTCATTACCGCTTCTCTACATAAAGCAGTCAAATCAGCACCAACATATCCATGAGTTTTAGCAGCCACTGAAGCAATATCCTCATCTGTTAACTCATATTTCTCTTTATTCATTTTTTCAAATTGTTTTTGTAAAATATCTTGTCTTGCTTCCACATCAGGTATTCCAATTTCAATTTCTTGATCAAATCTTCCTGGTCTTCTCAAGGCTATATCAACAGAATTTGGTCTATTTGTAGCTCCAACAACTACTATTCTACCCGAATTTTCCATACCATCCATCATTGTTAATAATGTTGCAACTACTCTACTTTCAGTTTCTCCAGTATCATCGGAATTTCTAGACGGTACTAATGAATCGATTTCATCCATGAATATAATTGATGGTTGATATTTTGCAGCTTCTTCAAATATATCTCTTACTGCATTTTCAGTCTCTCCTAGATATTTTGAAACAATTGATGGACCATTTATACTAAGAATATGAGCATTTATATTATTGGCTACACATCGAAGTAACATTGTTTTACCTGTACCTGGTGCTCCATGCAATAATATCCCTCTTGGTGGCGAAATCCCAAATTCTGAAAATAATGTTGGATTATGCAATGGTAATTCTATAGTCGATTTCAATGTTTCTATTTGTTTTGATAATCCTCCAACTTGTGAAAAGTTAATTGGTCTGGGTATATTAGGGTATTTGATCAATGAGGTACTTTTGTCAGTGGTTGTTTCTATTTTAGTCAGTGATGTGAATAAATAGGGTGGAGAAACACATTTCGGATATGATCTTAGCTCATCTGTGCTCGAAAGCGATAGTGAGTTCATCTTAGTCTCTATTGAGTCTTGTATATCTATTATTGTCAAGTCTCCAATCTTTAGTCCTGGATATATCAATCCTAAATCTTCTAGTACTTTTTCAGAATCTTTCACTTCCCCATTGACGAACACTACTTGAGCATAATTTGGTTGTTGATCATATCTAACAATGTTTACTCTGTCACCTAATAATAGACCAACTAACCGCCTAAACTCTTCTGAAATTGTTATAACATTCTTATCTATATTCAGTAATGAATGTGCAGTTGCTACTATACCTGGTTGTCCTTGTAGTTGACTTACATACACTAACTGACCATTTTTTAATTCTAATGCTTCAAATGTTTCGGAGTTTAGATAAATATTTGCAACTGTTTTAAGTGATGATGACGATTCATGAGGTCGTACAATAAATGATTTTGGTATTTTTACTTTTTTAGCTGGTGCCAAAGCATTGGGATCTGGAGTTTGAGCTTTTTTTTTGGTGGTAGACGATTTGGATGACATATTGTAAATTAATGATTTGTAGTTAGTAGTAAATATATTTTGGTTGTGAAAAAAATAATGTATGGATGAGTTGCAAAACTCAATCAAAATTGATTCAAAAGACGATAATCACTACTACGAAGAATAAAATAGAGCAAATGATCAGTCTACTATGATAAGAAAGCACCTCATAAAGCATAATGATAGGATACTACGACTAAAGAATCTACCTATCAATTTCACAAGATCAACCTCATCATCATCTTCATTCATACCATTGATACGACGATTTAAACCATCATTTCTCAACCATTTTGGATTCATAGACAAATTCATTACGTACCTAAACCCCAATTTCAAAAGAACGATAATTGAAAGAGACAGACCAACAATAATAGACAAAATTTCAACTTTACAAGACAAATCAACATACTCAACGAACGTTCAACCACTAATAAAGTACTTAAATCCCTTGGTTCTACTGAACTATGAACTAGCTATAATATCGAATGGACTAACGAACTTAGAATTACACACACGAATAGACAATACCTCGATAATTTACGAATCTGACAAGATTAGATCAGTTGGTCAAAACATTTACAGATTATTATTAGTAAATCAATTAAAAATTTTTCAAAATTTAAAATATTTATCCAACTCTGAGAATGAAATAGAATCAGATTTAAATTGGGTTTGGGATAATTCTATTATCTTAAAATTCATGAAACTAAATGGACTATCAAACAGTATTACCATAAACTCAGAATTTTTAATCAATGAATTCATTGACCACGATTTATACCAATTGAAAAAACAAAAAGTCATTAATGCTACTACTATTGGGAGCTTTTATACAATGATTGGTCTAATAAGCATTAAATATAAACAAAATTTAGATAATGAAACCATAGATAAAATCTTAAACGGTAAAAGAGGTATATTTAATATATTAAAAGACAATTTATAGAATTAACTATCAAAAGCTTGTACAAATAACACTTATAAATATAATGATGCACAGAATACAATATCTCTTTTAATTTTCTCTTGAGCTTCAGCCATCTTGAGGTGTAATTTAGAATCACCAATAATTAATGCAGCATTTTTAACTTCTCTACAAATTTCATCTAATCTTGTTATAACTCTTACAATAGTACCTTCCGCTTCAACACTAATTTGCATAATTTCATTAAAACTTAGTCCGTTAGCCCATTCGTAAACAACATTAACTAATGCGAATCTTTTACTTTCTGAGAAATCTTCTTCTTCCGAAGTTAATGAAACTTTTTTATCAATATAAATTTTTAATAATTTTTCTGCAATTTCTTTAATTTTAATTTTACCTTTTTCTAATCTTGGTGTAATCAATGGTGGTTCATCTTCTTGTGTTCTACCTTCATATACAAAACAAGATAATAATGCAACAATTTCAGCTGGCTCAAAATCTCCAAGGAAATTATCCAAAACCAATTCAGTTAGGATCAATTCCCAACCTGAATTAATTTCACATGCAACTCTACCTTTTAATACAACATTATGCTGATCATCTATAAAACCAAGTGTTTCTAAAACCTCTAATCTTTGTTCATAATCTGGTAATAAATCTAAATTTTCATCTGATATTAATCTTTGTAAACTTTCAATTTCTTGAGCTACTAAATGACGCTGTCTATATTCTATGTAATGTTGTTTAAAATCTGGACACAAGTAGCCACGAAGTTCTTTAATCTTTTTGAATATATTTTCTTTTTCATTATTTAAATCATGCAATGATAACTGTCTGCTATTTGATAAACCCAACTCAGTAAAGTCAGCTTGAAATCTAAGAAATTCTTTGATTTGACTAGTAGCTTCAGTCAAAGAATCTGGATCATCATTGATTAAACTTGACATATTGATTTTCAAAGATAATCTGCCAATAAAATATATACAATCAAATGGGATCTGAGTAACTTTAAAGTTTCCATTAAATTTAATCTTAGGGAAATGTTTCATATTGTATTCATAGATTGGTAAAAATGGCATTTTGTATTGATCTTGTGCAGTGTCGAATTCTTTCCCATGATCAAAAGTCACCAACATGATGTTTTCATTTGTGCTATCTGATCTTACAACAAATCCAACTTTTGAATTTTGATTTTTATCTCTGAATATAACCAATCTTCCAGCTTTGAGTAGTAATGTTTTCAAAATCGGAGATTTATGAATATCTTGTACACACATTCCATATATTTTTTCATATTCAAACATTAATTTACAAGTTTCTTCAACTTTTCCCATATCACATTTAGAACATGAACTTAATTGTAAATTTTTTAATTTGGTAGTAAGAAATTCATGTCTTCTTTGATTTTCTGGTAATAGCACTTGTGCTGAATTTTCACTAAATGAATGTTTAATCATTTCTTCCACCCTCAAAGCTTCAATTCTTAATAAATTTAAAATCATATTATAAGTTAATCTAAATTGTGATGATAATTTAGTTGGAGTTCCTAAAGCAACTTCTTTGAAATCTGTAGGAGATAATGGATCGTTATAAGCCATAACAATAACAGTACCGGTTGCATCCAAACCTCTCCTACCTGCTCTACCAGACATTTGTGTGAATTCACCGGGTAACAAGTTTCTAAATCCTCTACCATCATGTTTTCTTGTGGAACTGAAGACAACTGTTCTTGTAGGTAAATTCAACCCCATTGCAAAAGTTTCAGTTGCAAACAAAACTTTCACCAAAGTTTTAGCAAATAAAATCTCAATACATTCTTTAACAATTGGTAATAAACCACCATGATGTACAGCAATTCCTCTACTAAGCATTTCTCTTATTTTCATAATTTGTGGTAATTCTCTATCTTCTTTTTTCAACCTTCCAACTGCTCTATCTATAAACATATGAATTTCAGATTTTTCTCTGGCACTACAAAAATCAACACCTCTTAAACTATCAGCATATTCTTCACATCTCTTTTTGGAAAATACGAATATGACTGCTGGAAGTAAATTATTTGTTCTCATATACAGTACTAAATCTGGCCATGTGTTTTTATTTGGTCCATCTGTACCTCTTTTTGGATTTGTGAAATTGCCTCTATTTGTCATTAATGTAGAACCACCTCTTCCTCCTCTTCCGCCTCTACCTCCTCTTGCACCTGCTCCTCTATTTCCACCTCTAGCTGATCCACCTGGTCCACCTCTACTTCCATAACCCATTGACGTTGATGGTAATTCCTTTTTAGCATTACCTGCCTCTAACAAATCTTTATGAGCTTTAAATTCACTTTCAACAAATCTTCTAGTGGAATCAACAACTTTAAATAATTTATTTTTAGCAGATATAAATATTTCCAAAGGTACTGGTCTTTTTGGTGTCGATATAACATATATGTCTTTTTGCTTGGTTCTACCTACCCAATTAGCAAATTCAAAAGTATTTGGAACTGTAGCAGATAATAATATATATTTGACATGATCAGGTAACATAATTATAACTTCTTCCCAAACAACACCTCTATCAATATCATTTACATAATGAACTTCATCAAATATAACAAATTCAACATCTCTAATTAAATCTGCTCCTCTATATAACATGGACCTCAAAATTTCTGTAGTCATAATTAAACAATTTGCTTCAGGATTGATTTGAACATCACCAGTGATTAATCCAACATCAACATCCTTAAAGGTTTCTTTGAAGTCTCTAAATTTTTGATTTGATAATGCTTTGATTGGGGAAGTATATATACATTTAGTCATATTTCTTTTTGCCATAGCTATTGCATATTCTGCAACAACAGTTTTACCAGCTGATGTATGAGCAGCTACAAAGACTGAATCACCTTGTTCTAAATGGAATACAGCTTCTTTTTGGAAAGTATCCAATTCAAATGGCCAAGTTCTTGCCATATTCGGCACTAATTCGTTAAAGTCTTCTATTTTGTGATCTAAATCAACAACATGAGCCCATGCTCTTTTATCCTTGGATTTTTTTTCATCATATTTGAAAGATGAATAATCAAACGGGACTAGTCCTTCAATTTCAGAAGAGTCAAATGGAATCTGTTTAGGTTCAATTTTTTGGTTGTCTTTTTCTTCTCCAACATTATGTAGATTCATAGGTGATGTATCTTCTTCTATATCTTGTTCTTCTTCATCTAAATCTAATTCTGTTTGTGTTCCTCCGACTTCTAAACCTCTTTCAAACCCAGGAGGTATATCGAATAAACCAAATTCATTTCTGTGTAAATTTGCAGTATTATCTTTAACTTCTTGAGTTTGTTGTTGTATCAACCCACCAGGTTGAAATGGTAAAAAACCGGACTGACCTCTTAAACTTTCAGATTTCGAGGAATAATCTCTATTTATACTTAATGAATTTGAAGCTGAACTATTTAAATCATTTAAATTGATTTCTTCTTGATAACCTGAAATTTTACCTTCAATTCCTGATCTTTTGAATCTAAATTTTGTACGATTTAAACTTGTTGGATTTATTAATAACTTATCTATTAATTTATCTTTATCTACTTCTATTTTAGTTTGTAAAAGATCTAACAACTCCCAATTTAATTCTGGTGATGGTTGTAAAAAATCATTTTTTAATTGTTCATTTTTCTCTTCGATTGTTGGTTCTGGAAATTCTTTGATAACTTGAGTTGATGGATCTAGACCTATTGACAGATTTCCTTGGTTTAGCTCCTCAATGAGCATATTTTTTCTTGGTTGTACTATCGATCTGAATTATGATGTATTAATTTTAAGAAAGTATTAGAAATTAAAGTTAAGCAAAAAGTGGGTCGTAAAAAAGTGTGCGTTTTTTCAAGTAGAACGCTTTTTCTAAATTTATTAGGAAAATTTATCTACAAAAGATTAACCATAGCTTTAATCAATCAACAAGAAATATACATATATTACAACTTAAACTTATATCTAAAACAAATTAAGATTACATCAATCAAATTTTTAATTCTTCGACGTATAATTTTTACAACTACTTAACTTTAATTACTTTAATCAATCCACTACAACAAATATCTCATATCGAAAACAAAATAAATTAGCCACTTATCATCATGTCACTTTGTCAAATTAGACTTCAAGAAGAAAGAAAGCAATGGAGAAAAGATCATCCATTTGGTTTTTTTGCAAAACCTTTGAAATCACAAGATGGTTCCTTAGATTTAACTTCATGGACAGCAGGTATACCTGGTAAGTCAAATACATTATGGGAAGGTGGGTTATATCCAATCAAAATAGATTTTCCAGAGGAGTATCCCTCGAAACCTCCGAAAGTTAAATTTCCACCTGGTTTTTATCATCCAAATGTTTATCCAAGTGGTACTATATGTTTAAGTATATTAAATGAAGATCAAGATTGGAAACCTGCAATTACTTTAAAACAAATTGTATTAGGAGTTCAAGAATTATTAGATACTCCAAATCCTGATTCTCCTGCTCAAGAACCTGCTTGGAAAACTTTTAGTAAAGATAAATCTGCTTATGAAAAAAAAATTAAAGAACAAGCCAAAAAGTACGCAAGTGGTGAATAAATTTACTAATTAGAGAGAAATGAATAAGTAAATAAATAATTTTGTATTATATATATATTATATTACTAGTTAATAATAATGAACTTTGAATAAGTGTTACGGCGGTGTAAATGAAATCGTTAATAGGGTATCTTTTTAAAATAACTTTATACAACATCACTACTATTAATTAAATCTCTACTTTTAAAAATCAGTTCTCCAGTTTTAGCTTCTCCTAATTGTGAAGTTCCTTTTTCCTTGTAGGTGCTTACAGCTGGAATATCAGCTTTAATTCTACTTACTAAAGTAGAATAAGCTCTTGGTTCTAATTTAATTAAAGTATGTAAAGGTATTGACATCCAAGGACTTTCCTCTTGTGGTACATTCATAAAATATGCATAAAGACAACGTAATACTGCTTGATGAGTTATAATTAAAATATTTTCTTGTCTTTCTAATTCCATTATAATTGGTTCTAATCTAACAACAATATCACGATAAGATTCTCCTCCTCTATATCTGTATTCGTATTTATTATCATCTCTTGCTTTGAAATCTTCTGGAAATGCAACTTCAATTTCTTCATAAGTCATTCCATCACATTCACCAGCATCTAATTCATCTAATGCTTTCCATTGTAATTTCTTGTAAGGTAAAAATGACGCAGTTTGTTGAGTTCTTTTCAATGTTGATGTCCACACGGTTAAATTTGTATGTTTATTTTCTTCTCCTAATGATTTCAATACTAATTCTGGTAATTTTTTAGCATATCTCCAACCTCTTTCTGATAAATTTGCATCACCACCTATTTGACCAGTTAAATTAAACTCAGATTCTCCATGTCTTGATAGCCATATACTTCTTGGTTTTATATGTAAATTCATAACATAATAAACAATCCTTGATTCTAAATAAGTTTCAATTCTATTTAATATAATTTGAGAATTTACATTTACTAATTTAACAAATGTTTTAGTTGAATCTTTCGTGGTGTCCATGGTTTCATATACTGATTCATATAATTCTATTCTTTTTAAAAAATCTGACGTTGCAAACTCGTTTGGTCTCTTGATATAATCCGGTGAAGTTGTTTTAACATCCAATATATTTTGTAATATTAAATCTTTATCATCACACCAACTTTCTATAAACATTGGCTCAATATGATTCTCACGGCATATTTTTAATATCATATCTCTCCTTTCTCTTGTTGAATTAGTTGCATCTAATATTCCAACAACTCCGTTTTCTTCAACAAACCATGTCATCATATCTATTATAGCGGAGTCGATTGCTTTCTTTCGGTACAGTAAACCTTCTTTATTATTTGGGTCAAAAAAGTCTGCATTTATAGTTGCATCTTTTGCTATCTCTCTCCTATAATTTCCAACATTAAAACATTTTGATTTTATTGATAACCAAGATAAATATCGTACAATTTTTTGTGAAATAAGTGATTTACCACGAGCTGGTAATCCAACCATTACAACACAGACTCTAACATTTTCGACATGCGATATTGAATAGACTGGCATTGTGTTGTTATATTTTGTATTAGATTTTCAAAGTAAGTAAATAATTATGTATTCCACTTATCGGATCTTATATTTCTGGAATCAATTGGATGATATAATGCAATTTCAGTTAATATATTGAGTTTGTTTCTAATTCACACTTTTCAACTCATGTAATCAAATCAATTCACAGTAAGTAGTATTCTGAAAATAATTGTATATATCCTGGTATAATGATTAAATGAACTGATTCAAAGAGTTATGTTAAAGAATTCAATTGTTCAATTGTCGTGTGTGGGGGAAGGTTAATTTTTTTTTAAAATCCCGATAAACAGGTCACATGATTAAGCACGTGATTTTGGATAGAGAAACACAAAAATTTTCAATGGAATAAATTTCTAATTTCGTATACAACACAATTTTATTATTCAGTATATTATTATAACTAGAGTTTCACTTTGACATTATTATATTTAAAGTCTATATAAAATGAAGAAATTTCTAACAAAATCTAAAAAATCTATATCTGGGGATTCCACAAATGAAGATCTCACAAATGAAGAAGAACAATCAAGATCTATTATACCCAGTAAAAGTAATCAATCAGATAATTCAAATGATTCAATAAAAGATTTAAGTCCAATATTTGGTAAACAAAATACTTCACAAAGTACACAGCATCAGCAACAACAACAACATCAACAACCAGGATTTTACGATACAAGTTTAAATTTAAACCCATCAATATCAAATTCAAACCGTCAACCAATAAGTATACAAGATAGGAATTCGATTTTTTCAAGTAAACAATCATTTTCAACTAAGCAATCATCATATCAAAATAGTTCACAACTGAAAAGACAACAATATCAATATGGATTTGGTGGACAATCATTACAAGTTTTAAGAATAGACGAAGAAAATGTAAGTGGTGGTGGAGATGATAAATTATACAAGGATCAAATATTTGATGAATTGAGAAAATTAAGTCAAAATTTAACATATATTATGTCACAATATAATAATTCAAGTACAAATTTATCAACAACTGTAATTAACTCAATAGAATGTTTTAAAAATTTTAATTCACTAATAAAAAAGAATCAAGAATTAGATATAACTTCATTCAATAATTTAAATCTAAGAAAAATTATAAAAATCTACTTAAATTTTTACGATAACCTATTAAAAGATGATGTATACATAAAATTAAGATTATTACTAGTCAAACATTTCAATGAGTTTGCAACTATATTTAATTACAAATCTGGAGATGAAAATATAGTAATGAAACCTCAAAACTTCGCAATAGGTTCAAGTCCCACAAAAAATTTCCCAAATGAAGATGTTATAAGAAGAATAATGGATAAAATGTCACAAACTAATTTATCAATTAATGAACAAAATGGATCTTTTATTGCACCAATAATGAGAGGTGTTTCTTCAAATTTAAGTATTTTGTGTTTGTATTTTGGATACCCTGATCCTCAAGATATTCATTATAAGTTAACTCAAAGTATTCATGATTTATATGATGATATTCATGTTTTAGTTATGAAAAATCGTATAGAATTAGCTTCATCTTCATCTTCAGCTTCATTACAACATCCAGGAGATTTACCAAAATCATCACCTTACTCTTCAGTACCTCCATCACAACCAACTCAGAAATTCAAACTACCATTTAGAATACCCACAGATCCTTATGAACCACCAATGTCCATATCAATATCGACTGAAAATTCAACTAGAGTATCAGGAACAATGGGTGGTTACATTTATCCAAAAATCAACCTCAAAAAGCAACCACACCTTAAGAGCTACGCAAATTCTAAATTTGCCATATCTTGTGGTCATGTATGTTTAGATTCAACAAATCCATCAAATTATCCAAATATTTCAGCACCATCATCATCATTAATTTCATTATATAAAGATGCATTAATTACTCAATATCAACGTTCAAATCAGCTAACTGAAGGTTCAATAGCATACAAGTCAATATTAAATCAAATGGAACAAATGTTCCCATCCAAAAAAGTTAAAATTGTTGGTCCAAAAGGAGATGAAAAATATGATATGAAAAACTTACCAAAATTAAGATTTGGACAAATAATATGGGGTGAAAGAACATTAATTAACTTAAGTACTAAACCAAATGAAATTTCAGGTATAATTGAAAAAAAATTATCAGACCTTGCAATTATAAAAGTAAATAAATTAATAAGATGTAATTCAAATTATTTAGGTGATGATATTGCATTCAATGAATATGATCCTTCATTAATAATGGAAAATTTATACGTCAGAAAAGTATTAAACCTTAAAAGATTTGAACCTAAACTAATTGATGAAAACATTCAAGAAATAGATTCACAAATATCTTCAAATTCAGAAACATCAGAAGAATCCTACCATGGCATATCAGTGTTCAAATACGGTTCAACTACTCGATACACTAGAGGAAATTTAAACGGAATCAAATTAGTTTACTGGTTAGATGGAGCAATGCATTCTTCAGAATTTATAGTTAATTCAATAGATCATAATTCATCATTTGCAAGTGGTGGAGATTCAGGTAGTTGGATTTTAACTAAATTACAAGATCTTACACCACAACAACAAGGTTTAGGAGTATTAGGGATGTTACATTCTTATGATGGTGAATTTAAACAATTTGGATTATTTACTCCAATGTGTGAAATTTTAAGTAGATTAGAAGAAGTTACAAATATTAAATGGGGAGTTGTTGGTTGTGTTGATGATAAAAATGATGATAATGATAATGATTATGATGATGATGAAGTTACGAGTGATGAAGATATAGATTAGAATATATTAATAAATATTTCAGTTCTTATATCTGTAATGATCAACTCGGATCTTAAACCCCCTATCACGTGATAATTTTTTCAGAATCGAAGATTTCTCCAGAATTCAAAATCTAAGATATATCTACTTTTCCGATCTTGATCTTGATTTTGATTCATAATCTAGCTCAAATCTAGCTCAAATCTAAGGAAAAAACATACCCCACAAATATGTCATCAAGAAGTGGAAAAGTAATAGTAGCAGGAGTAGCAATAGCAGCATCATGGTGGTTCGGTATAAACTTTTGGAAACCACTAGTACTGTATGTAAAAAGACCAATTTCCTATGATAACTTCTAAAATACTAACTCAACTAAATAGAGAACAATTAGATAAGGATGGGAATTTAAGAAAAGATTATAATTATGAAAAACCAGAAGATGAATTAAAAAATTGGAATGATTTAAAACAAAAATGGAAAGCTTTTGAAAATCCTGAAAAAAATTTTTCTAAAGATGATAAATTAAGTTTAGAACATTTAAAAGAAAGATTGGAACAAAATAAACCTAAAGATTAGAAACATTATTGGCATTTGTATTAGCGATTGATTCATTTAAAATGAATATATAATAGAGTTATGTGTATATAGAATTGACTTAGAAAGATTCAAATTTTAGACAAAATCTTGGATCGGTCCCAAAAGATTAAACGCGATATGACCCCGCAATTTGAAATCAAAGCTGCTTTGGTTTATCTTTAAATAGTCCAGTTCATAGAGTAATCAAACAAAATAAACACACAACGGTTATACTTCAAATGTTTTCGTAGAAAATAATACACTACAATCAATATTTCTTAATTCTTAAATACACGTAAAAGTTATGAATAAATAATTACTAAATTTTAAATATGAATAAATTTATAAAATGAAAAAGATAATCAAACCAATATAATGATCATATCATCTAATTACCTTTTTTTTCAGCAGCAACAGCAGCCATTTTATTTAAAGCTGAACCATATTTAAACCATTCAATTTGTTCTTTATTATAAGTATGTGATAATTCAGTTTCCCAAACTTCACCATCTTTTGGATGAACTCTTAAAATAACATTTTTACCTGGTGCTAATTCAGTTAAACCAATTAAATCAATTTCATCATCTGGTTGAATTTTATCATAATCTGCAACATTAACAAAATTTAATGGTAATAAACCTTGTTTTTTCAAATTTGTTTCATGAATACGTGCAAATGATTTAGTAATTATAGCAAATCCACCTAAGAATCTTGGTTCTAAAGCTGCATGTTCTCTTGAAGAACCTTCACCGAAATTTTCATCACCAATTACAACCCATTTATGACCTGCATCTCTTAAAGCAGCAGCAGTTTGTGGAACACCATCCCATTTTCCAGTATAATGATTTTTAATTTCATTTGCTTTACCATTTTCTGCATTTGTTGCACCAATCATATAATTATTTGAAATATTTTCTAAATGACCTCTGTATTTTAACCAAGGACCAGCCATTGAAATATGATCAGTAGTTGTTTTACCAACAGCTTTAATTAAAATTGGTAATCTTTCAGCATCTTTACCATCCCATGGTTTGAAAGGTGTTAATTTTTGTAATCTATCTGAAGTTGGTGAAATTACAACTTCAACTGATGCTCTATCTTGTGGTGGAGCTTGATAAGTATTTTCACCTGGATCATATCCATCTGGTGGTAAACCAACTCCTTGTGGTTCTTTTAATAAAAATTCTTTACCATCTGCACCAATTAAAGTATCAGTAATTGGATTAAAACCCAAATCTCCTGAAATTGCATATGCAGTAGCCATTTCTGGTGATGCAACGAATGCATGAGTTGCTGGATTACCATCATTTCTACTAGTGAAATTTCTATTAAAAGATGAAACAATTGTATTTTTTTCACCTTTTTTAACATCTTGTCTATCCCATTGACCAATACATGGACCACAAGCATTTGCCATAACAACACCACCAAAATCTTCAAAAGTTTTCAATTGACCATCTCTGGCAATAGTGGCTCTAACTTGTTCTGAACCTGGAGAAACAGTATATAAAGTTTTAGCTTTTAAACCATGAGCTTCAGCATCTTTAATAATTGAAGCAGCTCTAGTCATATCTTCATAAGATGAATTAGTACATGAACCAATTAAACCAACTTTAACATCCAATGGCCAATCATTAGCAATAGCAGTTTCTTTCATTTTAGAAACTGGAGTAGCTAAATCTGGAGTAAATGGACCATTAATATGAGGTTCTAAAGTATTTAAATCAATTTCAATAACTTGATCATATTCACAACCTTTATCAGCTGAAAGATAATCTTTCTTGTATACATTAGCTAATTGAGCAATTTCTGATCTACCAGTAGCATTTAAATAATCAACCATTGAATCATTGAATGGGAAAACTGATGTAGTAGCACCAATTTCAGCACCCATATTACAAATAGTACCCATACCAGTACATGAAAAAGTTTCGACACCTGAACCAAAATATTCAACAATTGCACCAGTACCACCTTTAACAGTTGTTATACCAGCTAATTTTAAGATAATATCTTTTGGTGAAGTCCAACCAGACATTTTACCAGTTAATTTAACACCAATAATTTTTGGAGCTTTTAATTCCCAAGCTAATCCAGACATAACATCAACTGCATCTGCACCACCAACACCAATAGCTAATTGACCTAAACCACCAGCATTTGGAGTATGTGAATCAGTGCCAATTAATAAAGCACCTGGAAAAGCATAATTTTCTAAAACAATTTGATGAATAATACCTGAACCTGGTTTCCAGAAACCTAAATTATATTTAGCACAAGCAGAAGCTAAGAAATCATAAACTTCTTTATTTAAATCAATTGCTCTTGCTAAATCTTTTGGACCACCAACTTGAGCTTGAATTAAATGATCACAATGAACAGTTGATGGAGTAGCAACTTGTGGTAAATTAGCAGACATAAATTGTAAAATAGCCATTTGAGCAGTAGCATCTTGACAAGCAACTCTATCAGGTCTTAATTTTAAATATGATACACCTCTTTCAATTTCTTGATTATGAGGATCATCTAAATGACCATATAAAATTTTTTCAGCATAAGTTAATGGTCTATTTAATCTTGATTTAACAATTTCTAAATTTTCCAATTGTTGTTTATAATTAATAAATGAATGAGTTTCTAATAAATTTTGATTAACTTGAGAATCCTTATTAATTGATGTAGCTAAACCACGAATTGTTGAAGTGGTTGAAGCAAAAGGACTTCTTCTAATAGCTGATCTAGTTGAAACAGACAACATATTAGATTAAAGAATTGGTTAAAAAATAGTTAAAGAACAAAAAAATAAATAAACAAAATTCTGAAAGATCAATGAAAAAAAAAAAGAGGGAAAATTTTTATATTTATTTAAATTTGAATTTATTTGAATTGTTGATTTTTTTTTTTAATTCGTAGTACAGAAAATAATTTTTTTACTTTTAATTTTTCAATTTAATATTTTTTCAAACCGATCTACTATTAATCAAATTGGAGGTAGTAAATCAAAATTTAGGGAGAACTTTAGTCAAACGAAGTGTAACAAAGTGAATTTAATATTAATTAATTTGTGTAACATCATGTTTTTTAGTTCTTGTATTTTTTCGAGATATTTCGGTTCCGTTAGTGGAAATTAGCCAATCATGTATAAGAAATTTATAATAAAACTTATAATATTACATATTTTTTATCAAATATTATTTAATGTATGATGTATTATAAATAGAGAATAATTATAGAATAATAATAATACTAAAGAAAATAATAAATCATGATGATTAAAATTTATATCGGAATTATAATTAAATAGTACGATTTAAATAGCCTTATATGAATTTGGTCTAATTCATATTGAATGATTTACGTATAAAAGTCTAATATTATAACTGAAACTTACATGGTCACTCAATTCGTTAATTTGAATTTCATAGCATTTAAAGTAATAAAGTTCTATTATAATTTATGATAATAATGGAAGTTGTCTCGGATAAACTATGAACAATAATTAACAAAAACCTATTATACAAATCAAACAAGTAAAGTATAAGTTAGAATTTCATATTTAGCCGTAACTTAAGTTTAGCTTTGCATGTAAGAAATTTCAAAGTATCAAATATTTTATGTATAAATACTTTAAATCTAAACTTTTTATAATTAGTATAGTAAGATTTAACCCCAGATTTCAAACATTTACCCCCTTAATAACACGTCTTGAAATTACCCCCTAAGATAATATATGCTGTTTCAATTACCAAATATTCTATTGGTTAAAATTTAATTTTATTAATATTGTACTACTTCTTAAATAATAATAAATAATAAATTATACATACAATAAAAATAAAAAATAATTTATTTTAATTTAGTCCTCGGGATAAAATTTATCAATCTTTTAATACTATGGTAAGAAAGAATTACGTAAAGTTATATCTGTTTCTAAGTATCAGATTCTTTTAAATAGAGATGAAGATCTTACAAGTATATCCCACATCAAGATGTTAATCAATTACAATCATGCTTGAATGCACTTACAAATAGGTCTACTTGAAAAAGGATTGGTTCGAAGTGTTTGTATCAATAATTCTATTTAAATACGTAGAATTTCGAGATATCTCGTGTTGTTCATGTATTACTAAAATCTTCCTCTATTAATACAAATCCTTATCTTTTCAATCTACATCTTACGTCTTGAGGTATAAAAAAGAGTTTCTAGGGTGCACGATAAAATAAGAGAAGTCAGATGGTTGCAAAACATTTACGAAATAAAAATCGCATTGGAATCTAATTTTTATATAACATGTTGAAATATCTACATTGATCTGGCAATAAGTTAGAAGAAATGAATGGTAATTGTTGTATTTGAAACACGTAATACTATTCATGCCTCCATTGACTAAGAAAAAATCAGCAAAAAAAACGTAGCCCGACGCGGGACTCGAACCCGCAGCCTTGAGATTAAAAGTCTCACGCTCTAGCCGATTGAGCTAGCCAGGCTGACTAAGTAGTCTATATTTTACGACTGCTCCAAATCACTCAATTTGTTGACAAAAAATGGGCTAGAAATAATAGATACTTTATCTACATGGATTGTTTATCATATGAGTTTACGTATTTGAACACAATGAGATTGTTTTAAGATTCGGAGACAGTTCTAAATCAGTTTGATTGTTTATTATTCCAGCTCGTATATCAAGTGTTAAAAATATGTAATAATACCGAGACAAATAAGTATCTCTTTCAAACTAAAGGAAATTTCTGTACTTATTTAATGGGGTGTTTACTTCTTTTGTTGACAACTATTCACAATTATTTTGTTACTTTTAAATTGTATTTTTAAGAAGTGAAATAAAACTTCTTAGCAGTTCCAAATGCTGAAGGTCAGCTTTCAAGAATTGTTAGCAGACAAATATCAAGTATGAATTATTATTAAATCGTACTTTAAGTCTGACATTTTCTTTGCTTCTAGCTGCTATTAGTTACCAATTATTAGTCCCATTTTTCCGTCCTCTAATTTCTTTTTTTTACCAGACCTTGACATTTTTTATAATCACATATAGGATGTTTATTGATGATTGGTGTAACAATCCCTTGTTAAAAAGAATATTATTTGTGTTATTTTCGCTATAAATTTGTATTAATATTACATGAAAAAAGATCATAGTTCAAAAAATCATATTAATTTATCAGAATCTCCAAAAAAGTAATAATGATTAACAGGTAACAGATAGCTGAATACGATGAGCAACTAGTAACTTCTGATAACTTCCTTAAGTAATGTTTCGAACGCTTCCTACTTCGAGAGAGAGAAATGGAGTAAGTTTTACAGAGTACCAAAATGTTCATCATCAGAAGTTTTTTATGTAATCACTTGAAGCGTAAGAGACATTTCAAACTCTTAATTAACCCCACAAGTACCGACATTTGATATGAATATTAGTTGTGTATTGTGTTTTCTTAAGAGGTTATTACTGATCGTGTTTCAGAAACGCTACCAAACAAATATTTGGTTTTGTATTTTCATTAGGTACAAAAAAGATGCAATTTTAAACATATCAAATATAATACATCAACTTATAAAGGCACCATTAACAGAGTATTACAGGGACAATTGTACTTGCTGAAAGCTACAGACACAAAATACCCTTTAACAAACTAATACACGTCTAGAAAAAAACTTTTGAAAAAAGGTGAAAACTAGTCTATTATAAACGAATTTACAACAGTGAATACTTTAGGATTTGGCACTTTCCTTCGACCTGAACGTATCTCAATTTGAAATGTTTAAGCAGCAATTACTTGCCTCAATTAAAGTACCCTAGAATAATTCTCAATTAGGGGTGGTTTGCAGCTATAAAAAATGTATTTGTTTCAACATCAACGACCATGTCTCTTCATAGTTTTATCATGCGAATAACTAGAGCCAAACTAGTAAGATGAATATTGCAAGCATGCCGCCTATTGGTACTTGATGGTACTTAGGGTTCTCAATATGGCTTAAAGTCTGTGAAACTACCCCTAGAAAAAAATTGAGAATTTACCATTTTGCGCCAGAACATTTCACTTTTTTCTTCTTAAATTTTTTTATTGCATTTTCGGATACCTTCACTCTTCAACTATCCATTGAGGTACGTCTCATTGCATAAACTCTTTTAGTTCTTAAGATATTAAAGAAAACGTCTAACTCATTCAAATGAACAGCTACAGCCTTAAAACTAATTTGAAAATCTAGATCTTGATTCAAATAGATCAGAAAATGATTCTCTGTGCTGCTAGCGTTGCTAATTAATGAGATAAAGGCCATACTAGTTTGGGCCACTTTCAACGTCAATATTACACAAAACGGGATTTATATCACCGAGGTCACGTTATTGGTAACTAAACTACTTGAATAACTCTTCAAGTTTCTGAGTTGAACCCAAAAGTGTCATACTAATCACATTCAAATTTGATCAATGATTAAAATGATATAAAAACAAGATATCTTTAAAGAAAACTCCAAGTTGGGAATTCAAAAATTTTTACACACAAAATACTGCATATAAGAAAAATTTTACTCTTCGTTTTCGTGTTTTTAAATGGCTTTAACTCCATAATGATTCAAGTTGGAGACAAAAGTGTCATATTAATTACATTTACTATTTCATTAACTTTGCAATAGTTTGGGTTTTGTGAAAACTGAAGTAGTATAAATGTTCGTGAAAATGTCGATTGTGAAATATTGCATTTTGAGTTGTATTTGTATGTGACTGCATATAAGCGAAAATTTAAAACGCCAATAACTCAAGAACCAGAAATGAATCACTTCATTTAAGTGGTCTCGTTGCTTCAGTGAAGTGATATCTACATTTTGGTATTGCTTTTGTTAGCGTAGGTGCAAAATTGACGAAGTTAGCTAAAACCTTGAATATCTCAAGAACCAAGAGATCAATGGAAAAACAATCTACATCAAAGAGAAGCGAGAAAGTAGGGGTATCTGGAGAAGCAATAAAAAGGGCAATTTGTCATTGATGGCTAAGAATTCGAGAAAAAAACTGACGTGCTTCGCCGTCATTTGGCAAAATTCTCAAATTTTTTAAAACAGGGGTTTAGAGCAGCATCTGTGACTTTATAACTGCCTTGTACCATTAAGGACTTACTAGTCAAGCTAATCATTTATATGATTGACATAAATTAGTCTTAAAGCTTTATTCATATTTTACTAAGTTGATTAGTCTTTTTTATTATTCTAATGACTGATAAACCCCCTATTGAGAATTTTGATGGTACAAGAAGCATGGACCTGATCTCGAAGTATAAGCATCCAGCGCTAAATGTATTCGTTCAAGTATTGCGTACCTTTTTATATTGTGTTTGTTTTCCAAGTCTTTAGTTTGATTCTATAGCAAAATATTTTTAACTTGATATTATTTCTATATTGATTCGAATGATAATACAACTCTCTTATTCTTTATATTTTTATTAAATCTATATATTGTATACAATTTGGATAGCTATTGACTAATTGATTGATCAGGACTTGATATGTTGTTTTTTGTGGGTTGACTTAAATTACTTAATTTTGTAATTGATTTGTTATGATTTAAATTTTTAATGTACCTTGATCCTGTATATGAATATTGGTAAATTGTACACTGTATTTTTCCTTAATTTCAAAGACAATAATACTTTTAACTGTTTCATCTTATTTGAACTGCTATCTGCCCCATATCAAGTGTCACAGTAGCAAAAATGAGGATATATAATGTGTTTCTAGACTTTTTGGTCAAAGTTTTACAGATTCAATATTATCGATCTTAAGTAAAAACAGCGCTTTGTTACAGAATTCACATAAGAGTTTTGACTTAGATCACCTTTTGGTATTTTATACTATATAACGCACTGATCAATCCGCTGGCTACAAAGGTGATTAATGTACCTGGAAATTTATCTAAATTATTAAATAGACAATACAAAGTAAAACGGAAAAGCTGGTAGCATTATTTGAAACAACTAGTCAACCTATGTCTATGGCTGCAAAAACTTTTCAAGAGGTTACATTTGAGTTCCTTCTTTCGATGATGTGAGCAAATTATTAAATTTATGTTTGTTATGAAATCGCTGCTTAGCATTTCACTGTTTATAGATTTTATTAACTTAATGATGAGAGTTATGTTTTTTACCCACTCATTAATATTAGAAAATGATGGTCTCGAATCAATTAATTTCTGATGAATAATCATACTATTATATAATTGAGGTACCTATCAACTTACTTGGCCATATTAATGGTTTTATATTTTAAAAATTGCTTCAAAAAAATCGTCTCTTTCTGAAACAATTTCTCGACTATAACAAACTGTTTCAGCTCTTCAACCTAAACAATTTGATCAAAATTAGGAGCATTTCTTTACAAAGGATAATAACTCAAACTCAGGTAGACTTTTTTTGTGCTAAGTATTGCAATTGAGGTCAAAACCTTAGATTTCCTGGATCTCAAACTGAAATAAACTATTGTGGTAAGGTTGGAATGAGATCGAGATCGAGATTTCCTGGATCTCAAACACAAATTAACTATTGTGGTAGAGATGGACCGAGATCGAGATCGAGATCGAGATCAAGATCTGGATCGTAGAGATTCTGTTATGTTGGATCTCAAGATTTTGTTATGCTTGTTTCAGATTTTTTGTTATGCTTGTTTCAAGTTTTTGTTATGCTGGATCTAAGGTTTTTTGATATGTTAAATCTGCAGATTTTGGTATGCTAGATCTCAAGATTTTGATATGCTAGATCTCAAGATTTTGATATGCTTTTTTAAGGTTTTTTGTTATGCTTGTTTTAAGTTTTTGTTATGCTGGATCTAAACTATTTTGTTATGTTGAATCTACAAATTTTGGTATGCTAGATCTCAAGATTTTGATATGCTTATTTCCGGTTTTTTGATATGCTTGTTTTAAGTTTTTGTTACGCTGGATCTAAACATTTTGTTATGCTAGATCCCAACGAATTTTGCTATGCTGGGTTTTTTTGATATGGATCGGCAATCTCCAGCTCGGGATCTGGAATCTAGATCAAACTGAATCTTGGACAGATATGAGGTAAAAGAGTTCGGATTTAGATCGAGGTCAAGATTTATTGAATCTTAACTAGATGTTTAGTTAGAGATGAGATTATTCGAGATCGAGATCTGTAGCATTTTAGCTAGATACGATGTCTAGAAATCAACAACTAAATATTAATGACAAGACAATACAGACTTGTTTCAGATGATGCTACCATATAAGTTCAAAGTTTTGTACATTTTGCACCCAAAGAATTTGCAGATTTAAAACATATAAGTTATCAATTAACTCCAAATTAGTTACAAACTTACAAGCACAATTGATCAATGTTCAATTAACCAATTCATTTCTATTCCTCATTTTTTATTCAGATTTTGCAATTTAATGGTTTTCTTTTAAAAATTCAATTCTTCTATTCAAGTTTGGAAATCCAGAGTAATATAAACCATAAATTGAATCATTTTCAAAATTCTTCAATGGATTGTTACCGTTCATTTTATTCATAGCAGTTACAAATTCATGTTGATATAATTCATATGTTGATTGATCAACTTGATGAATCTTTCTTCTTATTAAATAATTTTTAATCATTGGAATTATTATATCAAATGGTATGAAAATTTTATTGAAAATTAAATATTTTATAAAAATTAAATTACTTTCTTCATTTACTTCAAACCCAAACTGTTTTAAAACATTATTGTCTTTATATAATATTTTTTCAAAAAAGAATAATTCTAAATATAATATAATTGAATTAATAAATTGTTTTTCTAAATGTAAATTTAATTTGATTTGTAATATGCATTGTAATATTATTGATGTTAATTCTTTTGTTGTGAAACTTTTAATACTTCCTTCATTAATAGTCACCATATTTGGTAAATAATTAAATCCCATTGAAGATATTGCAGAATCTGCTATATAAATTGAATTACAATCATATCCGATTTTAGAACATAATTTTAAAATTTCATCTTTCAAATCGCTTTGAGGTACATGCTTCAAAAAATTAGGTCCTGATATAACACTTATGAACAATGGACTTAATGAAATTCTCAAAATTGAGTAAATTAAAAACCCAATTGAAATTTGTAAAATTGGAAAATTTTTCACCAAGTTAATTAATATTGAAGAACCAAATATTTTAATGGAATCTCCAAAGATTTTAAAAACTAATAAATTAATCTGAATCATAAACCATTCTAATGGACTTTCATTCTGATTAAAGTCTGATACAATAAATTTTCCATAAAATTGGATTGGTACACCCCAACAAAAAATTAAAATATTTGAAATTATAGAAAATATTATAGTTTGAAAATATGAGTTTGAAGGTAATATAAATGATAATGATTCATTAATTTTTTTACTTAATTCTAATAAAATACTATAGACATCAAAATGAATAATCAATAAATTTTCAATTAAATCAAAACCTAATTTATTTATGGTTAATTTTACTAAATTTTCTAAGCCAAATAATGATTGTTTAAACTTATCATTACTTAATAAATCAAAATTATTTTGTCGTAATCCAATTTGAGTTATTTGAATTTTTTTTAATTGTCTATTATTTATGTAAGACTCCCATAAAAATTTACCAATTGTAAAAGCTGTTGCAATTGCTTTCCAATGACTTTTACAAAATTCAACCAACTATAAATAAGTATTTTAGGTTAGTAATTATGATCCTGTTGCTTGGTATAAATTATATATAATATTTACATACAAATTGCATGTTTTGAGGAAAATAATTGGTAATATGATTTTCAAAGAAAAAAGTTATAGATTTTATTATTCGTTCAGTTAAGAGAAATTTATAGAAAAGTTTTCATTTTAATAAGCCAACAGGGCCTATATCCTTATCACTTACATTAATGAATCTAAAAAATTAGGTTGAACTAAAATATGGGTTAGTTTAAAAAATAGACTATTGTAGTAAACCCCCATAACTGGTTAATTCTGAAAATACACACACCTGCATAAAAGGTAGATAATAATTTAATTTACAAATTATAGTCTCGAAAGTGCCTCTTGTAACTCATTACTTCCTTCACATGTATATATCATATATAATAAGGATTTTATTTATTTTAGGTATAATTATAATTTTGACATTTTGACATGAAATTTTACGACGTTAATATTAATTCGTAAATTATTCATAAAGATCCCCCAAAATGAGTAACATGTTTTTAAAATATAAATCAGTTTGACTAAAATGTATAATAAAAATGAGAAATCTGTAGAGGGTGTTTCATGCATACAATTTAATAATACAATTGAATTAATTGTGTAGTGTAATATTCTTAAAAAAATGGTGTTTAAGATGATATAAATAAGCTAATAACATTACGATTTTAGTATTAGAATCATGACTACAATTTAGACCAAATTTAGATTCATAAAACTTTAAGTTTTGGTTCTTTTAGCTATTCAAATAACTTAGGGAATTCATATTAACAGCCTTTTTCTTTCTCATTCTTTGTTTATTCCAATAGGTTCAGCAAGCTAGATGAAGATTTAGTAAACGTAAAAAGTATTGAAAAGAAAAAGAAAAATAATCATTCTTGGATAATGTGTTAACATTTCTTCATTATTTTTGTGTAATTTTCAAATAATTAGTATTAATATTACTGAAAAACATTTTAAGTGGTAAATTGTTTTCCGTCCATAATCTTTTAGATTCATAAAACAAGATTCTTCATAACCCTCAGAATTAATTGCCATTTACTGGATTTTTATACAAATTAACCATATTTTGAAGATTATCCAATAAAATTTTTAGTTTGCAACACTATTACATATCAAACCAGATATTCTTTAAAATACTAAAATTCTAAAAATATGCGTATCAGAAAGTAGAACTTTTTTAAGTTGAAAAAGTAGTATAAATAAAACAAAGTATCTTGCTGTCATTGAAAAATAAATAAATTATTCGTCTTGTAATAAATAAAAATCAAAATGATATTCAATACATTATTTGCTGCTTTATATTCAGTAATTATTGTTCAATCAGCAACGATTAACCCACCAGTATTTGATGAAAGTGTTATTATAAAGAATTACCCCATTCTTAATGAAACATTTATCCCTATCAAGGTGCTTCAGATCCCACAAGATATTAAAGATACTATTGCTCCACCAGTTTGGGTTGAGGATTGGGAAGAATTAGAATTTGCTGCACCATCAGATATGTTTTCATCAGTTCCAATATATGGGGATAATGATAATTTAACAATTAAAGCTGCCGCTTATGCATTTGCTCATGGTTCAGGTGTTTGGATACTTCAAGATCACACTGAAAGAAATGAGTTAACAATTGATAAAACTGTGACATTAGAAGATGTATTGGAATTTTATCAAATCGGTGAATTAGGTGAAATTGGTAAAGGAAAAAAAGCTGCGGCTTGATTTTTTCAAAAATATATGGAGTGAAAACGATAGAAATGTTGCTCCTCCTAATGCATTAAGTGCATTACTAGATGATAAAATTGGCAGTTGTGATGGGGTGCGTCCTAGTACTCGTATATACCAAGCATGTGTAAGTAACAGACCAAAAGTGTTTCTTCAGACTTTGAGAGGTTATTTGAATTGAAGAGGTAATTAATTTAATTTTTATTGTAAATATTTTAATTGTAATTTTTCTATATACTCAAGTAAATTGATAACTGGTTGTTACAATAATCTGAAGTAAATAAATTAATAACCAGAGAAGTATCTTCTGTGCTATAACTTTGTTGTTCTAATGATGCCCAGAAGATAATATGTTAGCTCATTTTTCAACAAAATCCATTTAAATACAAATCAAGACTTAACTCCATTGGATATGCAAAAATTTATTATTTTTCTATAAATAGAATTTATGAAACACAACTTTTAAGTAAACGGCTTTTTTTTTGGACAATTTTACGAGAGAAATTTTAATTACAAAATCAAAATTCCGTTTACTTCCTGTTACAACTTATGTTCAAGATTTAAGTAAATAAATTGTAATGAAAATTCCGTAATTCTATACTAATTCGGTCAATTTTGTAGAATGGCGAAGTTAATAAATATTTAGATCCCCGTATTTTAAACTCCTTATCCCATCTTGTCATTTAATTTTATACAAACGTCCCTTTCTTTAATTGCTTTCTCTCAATAAGTTTAAACAGTATCTTTCAATTTGGTACTTTTACATTATTTCTCTTCTATAACCTCTGACTTCTTGATATAAGTAAAATTCATTGAAGCTGAAGAGTAAGAGTTTGTGCTTTTATTAATGTTTTTTTTTTTTAGATCAATGACTAATAAAAACAAACAAAATAAAACAAAACAAAACTATTAATCAGATATTAAAAAGGGTTTGAGTATTTTGAAGAACAATAATGACTTATTTAACAAATGTAAATAATAGTAGATAACTAAAAGCCAATTTTGTAGAATGGCAAAAGTAATTTAGTCTATATAATTTTTTTCAAAATAAAATTGATGCAAAATTTCTATGTATATTATACGGAGTTTAGTTGCAAAAATTTAAATAGAAATTTTTTAAACTTAACTAAAATAGGCTGGGAAGATTTATCGAATAAGCTGGTCAATATTAATAATAAGTAGCATGAAAGTCAATCACAATTGTATTAAATTGTTGATTACCTATTACTTCAATATGAATATATTAATGAATAGTTCATAAGTTTTGCTATATTGGTAAATACAAATTTAGAATTAATTCCGTAGTACTTTAAAGTTCCGTTTGTAGAATGAAAATTTAAAACTATGTACGCAACAAATTTAAGTTAAATGATTACAAGGATTACCAAAAATTTAACAATAAGGTCAGTAATATGGAATATGGACTACAATATCTAACGTTAAAATTCTATAATTTTAGATGGATTTTAGAGAATGATTAAATGTATGATTAAACCGTATAAAATTCCATACTTTTAGTTAAATTCCATAATATGCAAATTGCATTAAATTATTATATTTTTTAATAATAATAAAACTCATGCCGTTCCACTTATGAATTGATCTTTGCATTTTATAATTTAGATGATTTTATATTAAATTTATAAAGATATTGTTATTATAAATATCATGATGATTATTCAGGTTTCTGATCAATTTTCATTGAAAAATTTTCAGGTTTAATTAAAATATTACAATATTCAATTATATATTACTATACATTGAACAATTAGAGATCAAGAAAAGAGATCAACAAATTTATTTATTAATAATAATCAATAGAAACAAAACTACTTTAGATCATATCACCGAGACAGAAGCTTTAGATTCAATTGCATATTAACAAAATGGACGATACAAGTTCATTAGAATTTGGTGATAATTTATACAAACCACAAAGGAGACTATTAACATTTTTATTCAAACATTTGAATTATCCAATACCAAGTGATAATGAAAGAAAATTACATCCAAGACAAGCAAGTAATTTTATTTTTAAAATTTTCTTTTGGTGGGCAACTCCATTAATGACAGTTGGATATACAAGAACTTTACAACCAAATGATTTATGGATTTTAACTGATGATTTAAAATTAGAAAGTAATTATGAAATCTTTGATATGTATCTTGATATGGAAATTGCAAGAGCTTCAATGGCTCATATTGAACAAAAATGTAAAGAAAGAGGCGAAACAATTGAGAATTCATCAGTACTGAGAGAAGAAGATTTAAAAGATTTTAAATTAACTGCTAAAAATATTGCTATTGTTATTTTTCTAACATTAAAAAGAGATATCATAAAAAGTGTTATAATAGCAGTTATTGCATTAACATGTTGGGCTGTTGTACCATTATTAACTAAACGTTTAATTAATTTTGTTGAAGAAAAAACTTTAGGAATTGTATCAAAAGTAGGGAAAGGTATTGGATTTTCATTTGGAGTTGTTGCTATAATGTTTTTAAGTACTATTTTATTCAATCATTTTATGTATATTGGATCAGTTATGGGTGCAAAAGTTAAAGCTATTTTAACAAAAGCTATACTAGATAAATCATTTAAATTGAATGCCGAATCAAGACATAGATTCCCTCAAGGTAAAATCACAAGTTTGATAACTACTGATTTATCAAGAATTGAAATTGCATGTTTATTGCAACCTTTGTTGATATGTTTACCCGTTCCAATTATTATTGCCATAGTTATTTTAATTGTAAATATTAAAGTCTCAGCTGTTATTGGTATTGTTGTTTTCGTTTTATTTTTGGGTGTAATTTCAATTGGTGCTAAAAAATTATTCGAATATAGAGACATTGTTAGTAAAATAACAGATAAAAGAGTTAATTTAATGAAAGAAATATTAAATAATTTAAAAATGATCAAATATTATTCATGGGAACATCCTTATCATAGAAATATAATGAAAGTAAGAGGTGAAGAAATTGATCTTATATTAAAAATTCAAACATTAAGAAACATTATCTTTTCATTAGCAATGACATTAACCGGTATATGTGCAATGATTGCTTTTATTATTTTATATGCTATTCAAGGTTCAACTTCTAGTCCAGCTACTATGTTTTCGTCAGTTACGTCTTTTGAAATTTTAGGAATGATGGTTTTTTTCATACCTCAAGTATTGTCAACTACTGTGGATATGGTGAATGGGTTTAAAAGAATTGGTGCGTTATTAGCAGCTCCAGAAGATCAAAAGTACGAAGGATATCATCAGGTAGAAGATAAAAGTAACGACGACGCAGTGATATTATCTGATGCTACTTTCAAATGGGATGTTTTCAGTGATGATGAAGAAGATGAAGATGAAGATGATGAAGAGAAAAAGAAAGAGAAAAAGGAGAAAGAGAGATTGGAAAAGAAAGCTAACAAAAAGCATTGGTGGAAATCATCAAAATCCAAAAAAAGTGATAAAGCGAGTGAAGTTGTTAAATTGGAGAAACTCGAGTCAAGAACCTCCAACAAGAAAAATAAAGATGATGAAAATGATGAAGAAAGTGTAAATTTCACTGGATTCAATGATCTTAATTTAGAAATAAAGAAGGGAGAATTTGTAGTAATCACTGGTGTAATTGGATCAGGTAAAACTTCATTATTAAATGCGATAGCCGGATTTATGAGATGTGATACTGGTACGATAGATATAAATGGTTCCTTAGTCTTATGTGGTACACCATGGATTCAAAACAATACTATTAGAGAAAATATCACATTTGGTACACCATTTGATCAAAAATTTTATGATGAAACTATTTATGCATGTGCATTAAATGTTGATATAAATAATTTAGAAGGTGGTGATTATACAGAAGTTGGTGAAAAAGGAATAACATTATCAGGAGGTCAAAAGGCAAGAATTAATTTAGCTAGAGCTGTTTATGCTGATAAAGATATTATATTGATGGATGATGTATTAAGTGCTGTTGATGCTCGTGTTGGCAAACATATCTTGAGTCATTGTTTATTGGGTATTTTGAAAGAAAAAACAAGAGTCTTGGCAACTCATCAATTATCATTGATAGGTCAAGCTGATAGAATTATATTTTTAAATGGTGATGGAAGTATAAATATTGGACAAATGGATGATTTATTAGAAACCAACACAGAATTTAATAATTTAATGAAACATAGTAAATTTGAAGCTGAAGAAAAAGAAGACGAAGTAGAAGATTCAGTTGAAGAAATTGTTGAAGAAATAGATTTAGGTAGTGAAAAAGGTAAATCATTAGTTCCAAAATATTCTCATAGAAGACAAGATTCAACTCAAGAATTAACTAGAAGAAGAACTAATATAGAATTGATTTCATCTAATGAAGATGAAGAATATAAAGATTACAACCATAACAAAGATAAATCAAAGGGTAAAATTATAACAGAAGAAGAAAGAGCAATTAATAGTATCAAATGGGATATTTATAGTAACTATTTGAAATATGGTTCTGGATTTTTAAAACCAATTGGATTCAGTATTGTATTTGTTATATTATTAACCCTTTCAACATTCCTTGAAATTTTTACAAATACTTGGTTATCATTTTGGGTTGCACAAAAATTCCCACATAGATCAAATGGATTTTATATTGGACTTTATGTTATGTTTAATATTTTATGGGTTGTCATGTTAACTTGTACTTTTATATTTTTAGTCACTGGTACTACAATCTCATCAAAGAACTTGAACATATTGGCTATTAATAGAGTATTACATGCACCAATGGCATTTATGGATATTACACCAATGGGAAGAATCTTGAATAGGTTCACTAAAGATACAGATGCATTAGATAATGAAATTACTGAGAATATGAAAATGTTTTTCCAATCCATTGCTAAAATGATTGGTGTATTTGTATTATTAATTATTTATTTACCTTGGTTTGCTTGTGCATTACCTATTATATTTATTTTATTTTTTTGTATTGCTAATTTTTATCAAGCTTCAAATAGAGAAGTTAAGAGATTAGAAGCTATTTTAAGATCATTTGTTTATAATAATGTTACTGAAGTATTAAGTGGGATGAACACCATTAAGGCGTTCAATGAACAAAATAGATTTGCTTTGTTAAGTAATGATTTGTTGAACAAGGCAAATGAAGCTACTTTTACCGTTAATGCTAATCAAAGATGGTTAGGTATTCAATTAGATATGTTAGCAAATGGTGTTTTGTTGCTTGTTTCATTACTCTGTGTGAACAGAGTGTTTCATATAAATGCAGCTGCCGTGGGATTATTAATGACTTATACTTTACAAGTTACTGGTGAATTAAATAATTTAGTTAGAACTTTTACACAAGTTGAAAATGATATGAATTCAGTTGAAAGAATTATTCATTACGCGTTGAATTTAGATCAAGAAGCTGGTTATGATTCTGGTAAGATAACTACTTCAAATTGGCCTGGTGATGGATCAATTGAATTTCAACAAGTTAATATGAAATATAGACCTGGATTACCATTAGTTTTAAAAGATTTATCCTTACAAATAAAACCACAGGAGAAGATTGGAATATGTGGAAGAACAGGAGCTGGTAAATCTTCAATCATGACTGCATTATACAGATTATCAGAATTAGATTCAGGTAAAATTTTAATAGATGGTGTTGATATTTCTTCACTAAACCTTAATGAATTAAGATCTCAATTATCGATCATACCACAAGATCCTGTATTGTTTAATGGTACTATCAGATCCAATTTAGATCCATTCAAAGAAAAAAATGATGAAGTATTATGGGAATCTTTAAGAAGATCCGGTTTATTGACTACTGAAGAAATTTCAAAAGCTAAACTTATACCAAAAGATGCTGAAGAATTACCAAAATTTCATTTATATCAATCAGTTGAAGATGAAGGTGAAAATTTTTCATTAGGAGAAAGACAATTGATATCATTTGCAAGAGCATTAGTTCGTGATTCATCAATATTATTCTTAGATGAAGCTACTTCAAGTATAGATATTAGTGCTGATAAATTAATTCAAGAAACCATACGATCAGAGTTCAAGGAGAAGACAATTTTAACCATTGCTCATAGATTACATACAATTATTAATTATGATAAGATATTGGTAATGGATAAAGGAACTTTAAAAGAATTTGATACTCCATGGAATTTGTTTAATGCTGAAGGGTCAGTTTTTAGGGAGATGTGTGAAAAATCAAACATTGTTGCTGAGGACTTTGAGAAGAGAGGTTGATTTTTGGTTTTTATTTCAAAATAGATTTAGTTTATAGAATTTAATATATTTATTAGTATTTATTCAACTGTTCTTACTTATCGTTTTATGAACTTTGCTTTATTCGTAGGTACACTTTCAAGCAGTTAAGGATTTTAAATTATTAATTTCAAACTTAGTTAAATCAATGACTATTACTTTGCTGCTAGATTTAGTGCTCTGGATCAACTTGGCCATTTTATTACAAATTACTTCTAAGTCAACATTGTAGGATATAGGCTTTATAGTTCCGCTCACGCGTATTAGTAGTCAACTATGATGTCTAAACATTAGAATATTCACAAAAGATACGTATGAATTGGACCAATAAATAATGTAATTAGAGATTTAAGCAAAACTCAATTGCAAATGAGTTTTTATTGAGGCTAGCCAGGTAAAATTGAGCCTGTTTTAGGTGAATTAAAGTCTATATAGTAATAGCTTTTACCCAAAAAACATTACTTTTTCTATTTTGCAGCTAAAGATTAGCATAACAATTATTTTGCAGTCATATATGCGCAGATCAATTTTTAAATATTTTGGATACTTTGTACTCCTATTTCTTCTCCAATTGATCACCAGCTTCTACTTTTATTCCTACTACTTTTATCCATACTACTTTTATCCATACAAATGTAGAACTATTTATTTATTTATTTACTAACTTCAGAATTCAAGTTCATTATCAATTGAGAACTTTTTGTGAGACATTTCACCCACTCAAGTATGGGAATTACCTGAGTTGAATACCTGAGACTTTTTTCCAACCCAATGGACAAATTGATGATTTTATCCAACTTGAGAACCAACCTTTGGAGACAAACTTAACTAATTGACTGGATTATGATTTAAATTAGACACTATATTGAAGCAAGTGAGATATTAGGTGCTTTGAATAATTGACTGACAACCTATTTTGAGTTTTGCACTTGTGATACATGACTGCAAAGAGGCAGGCTACTTGGTGGAGATGGGTAGTTGACTTTGATTTAATTTTGATTTGGCTCATTTCATAACATCATGTTGAATTCAATGCAATGGTTAAGACTTGAAATAGAAAAAGAACCTAAGAAAAGTTAGACACAGACAGGCCCCAATACAGCTAGTTCTCAACCAACAGTGAATTAAAAAGGTCAACAAGATCGAAAAACAAGCTTAAATTACCCTATCTAGAACTCTAAGCTTGAAATTTATGACATGAAAATACAGATATGTTTCACAGGATGCTACCGTATAATTTAAGTATATTTTGCACCCAAAAAAGTGCAAATATAACGATCTCAAACTTTGAATAACACCAAAATTGAGTAAAAACTGACAAGCAAAACTTCTTCAGCCCATAAAAAAGCCACTCAATACTGAAGTTGATATATCATTGTTCACATGTCTTGATATAAGTTGCTGCTGCTTATGACAAAAATAGACTTGAATAAATGTGAAATTTCAGCACACTAGAGCAGTTGGAGTTACATTATTCAGCAGCCAGTGGAGCCACAGAAACTTAATTACTATGACGTACCCTGAAAAATTCTCAATTGGGGAAGATTACAGCTGTCAACAAATTATTGTTGCAAAGTTAATTAACATGTACCAGCAGAGCTTTAGCACTTGCATAATTTAATACAAATATGTGCTTTAGTGATGCATACATGTTACCTATTGGTTCTTGATGGTACTCAGAGTTCTCAATATGGCTAGAAAGTCTGTAAATCTACCCCCCTAAAAAATTTGAGGGTTTTCCAATTTGCGCCTGGACATTTCACTTTTTTTTCTTCAAATCTTTTTATTGCATTTGCGAACACCCTTACTGTTCTTCATTTTGATGCACGACGTCTTATTAATGAAACACCTCTGGTTGTTGAGATAATTAGCAATCCGTCTATCTCACTCAAATTAGCAGCTGCGGCTCTGGAATTAGCTTCAAAAAAGATTCTTGAGTCAACTAGCTCAAATCACTAGTCAGATTGCTTTTGTAGTCTGGGAGATATAGGCCAGTTTTAGAAGATGCCATACAAAGTTGAAATAACACAAAACCGGATTTATAGCTCCTTTCACGTGCCTGACTGTTAAGCTCATTCATAATTCATCAATTTACGATCAGAAAGCACCTATCGAATGAGCATTATTCAAGACTCCAAACAGTTGGCTTATATTAGTGCTGCAATCAATTAAAAGATCAATAATGTAAGCTGGCAAAAGTAATTTTATAATTAGTTTCAAAAAATCCATGTGATACAGAGTACAGTTTTAATGCAAGGTTTAATTAAGACTGTTTTTAAATTCATTCAAGAAACAAATAGATGCTTATTTAGTAATCTAGTCAATGTTAACACTTTTTGGTTATTTAATACTTGTTGTTCACTGTACTATACTAAAGATTATTTAATAACTAATATCAACAAAAATCATTTAAATATTGAGATTAATTCCGAAAGAAATTTAAAAATTCCGTTTATTATTTTATCTGATATACAAAAGAAATACAAAATTATTATAATTCGACTGCTATTATTATAACTAGAACTTATTATACACGTTACTCAATTCGTGATGATAGAAATGTTTCGATTGAGTTCTTTTTAAGTGGTAAAATGGATAATGAATATTAAAAGTGGAAGAATTTTGAATGAGATATCAATAATAGATTTGAACAGCATCAATTTATTATATTCAGCAAATGGTGTTGATTTTATATTAGTTCAAAATGTGAATCAGAAATTAATGTCGCTCCACTATTTAGTATAACATTACCTTGCATTATTTTTGAAAAGAAAGGTTTAATAAACAAATTTCATAATGATTGTTCATATTTATTCATAAGTTAACACATTTATCAAATTAATAAGATTAGTAACAGTAATTTACCGGATATCTTCAAATTACTTGAACTAACGCTTTTCAACAGGGATTAATATAAAAGTAACAAATCTACTGATTGTGCCCTAACTGAAATAACACTGCCTCAATTCATATCACCAAGACAAATCATTATTTAGAATGGATGAAGTAAGTTTATTAGAAGCTGGAGATAATTCATATAAACCTCAAAAAAGGTTATTGTCTTTTTTATTTAAACATTTAAATTATCCAATTCCCAGTGAAAATGAAAGAAAACTACATCCAAGAAAAGCAACTAATTTTATGTCCAAAATTTTTTTTTGGTGGGTAACTCCATTATTGGCAATTGGATATACAAGAACTTTGCAACCAAATGATTTATGGATTTTAACTGATGATTTAAAAGTAGAAAGCAACTATGAGAATTTTCAAATGTATCTTGATATGGAAATTGCAAGAGCTTCAATGGCTCATATTGAACAAAAATGTAGAGAAAGGGATGAAACAGTTAAGAATTCTTCAGTACTGAAAGAGGAAGACTTAAAAGATTTTAAATTAACTCCTAAAAATATTGCAATTGTTATGTTTTTAACTTTAAAGAGAGAGATCATTATAAGTGTTTTCAGTGCACTCATATCATTCATTTGTTGGGCTGTAGTACCATTGATAACTAAGTATTTGAAAAATTTGTTGAAGAGAAAGCTTTAGGAACTGTATCGAAGGTTGGTGAGGGTATTGGGCTCTCATTTGGAGTTGTTACTATGATGTTTTTAAGTACTGTTTTTTTTAATCATTATATGTATATTGGATCAGTTATGGGTGCAAAAGTTAAAGCTATTTTAACAAAAGCTATATTAGATAAATCATTTAAATTGAATGCTGAGTCAAGACATAAATTCCCTCAAGGTAAAATCACAAGTTTGATAACTACTGATTTATCAAGAATTGAAATCGCATGTATGTTCCAACCTTTGTTGATATGTTTACCTGTTCCAATTATTATTGCATTGGCTATTTTAATTGTGAATATAAAAGTGTCAGGTGTTATTGGTGTCGTTATATGTGTTGTTCTTGGGGATAATTTCAATCGGTGCCAAAAAATTATTTGAATATAGAGATACTGTCAGTAAAATCACTGACAAAAGGGTCAATATAATGAAGGAAATATTAAATAATTTAAAAATGATCAAATATTATTCATGGGAACATCCATATCATAGAAAAATCATGGAGGTAAGAGGTGAAGAAATTGGTTTCATTTTAAAAATTCAAACTATAAGAAATGTTGTATTTTCATTAGCGATGACGTTGACTGGTATATGCGCAATGATTGCTTTTATAATCTTGTATGCTATTCAAGGTTCAACCGGTTCTGCTGCAACAATATTTTCGTCTGTTTCTACTTTTGAGATTTTAGGAATGATGGTTTTTTTCATACCTTTAATACTAGCAACTACTGTAGATATGGTGAATGGGTTTAAAAGAATCGGTAAGTTTTTGACAGCTCCTGAGGTCCAAAGATATGGAGGATATCACTTAATAGATAATGAGAATAGCGATGATTCAATAACATTAACTGATGCGACTTTTAAATGGGATGTTTTCAGTGATGATGAAGAGGATGAAGATGATGAAGATAGAAAAAAAGAAAGAAAGGAAAAGGAAAAATTGGAAAAGAAAGCCAACAAAAAGCTCTGGCGGAATACTTCAAAATTGAAAAAGATTGCTAAAGAAAGTGAAATTGAAAGACCAGTGAAACTTGAGTCAAGAACTTCAGGAAATTCAATTAAAATGAAGGCAGGAGATGAAAAAGACAAAGTAAGTGTTGATCATTTAGGTTTTAATGATCTTAATTTAAAAATTAGAAAGGGAGAATTCGTAGTAATCACTGGTGTTGTTGGATCGGGTAAAACTTCATTGTTAAATGCGATAGCTGGCTTTATGAGATGTGATTCTGGTACGATAGATATAAATGGTTCCTTAGTTTTGTGTGGTACACCATGGACTCAAAACAATACAATCAGAGAAAATATAACATTTGGTACACCATTTGATCAAAAATTTTATGATGAAACTATTTATGCATGTGCTTTAAATGTTGATATAAATAATGTGGAAGGTGGTGATTATACAGAAGTTGGTGAAAAAGGAATAACATTATCAGGTGGTCAAAAAGCAAGAATTAATTTAGCTAGAGCTGTTTATGCTGATAAAGATATTATATTGATGGATGATGTATTAAGTGCTGTTGATGCTCGTGTTGGCAAACATATCTTGAGTCATTGTTTATTGGGTATTTTGAAAGAAAAAACAAGAGTCTTGGCAACTCATCAATTATCATTGATAGGTCAAGCTGATAGAATAATCTTTCTTAATGGTGACGGAAGTATAAATATTGGGCAAATGGATGACTTATTAAAAACAAATGCTGAGTTCGATAAGTTGATGAAACATAGAAAATTAGAAGCTGAGGAGAAAGAAGAGGTAGAGAATTTAGTTGAGGAAATTGATTCAGGGAATTTAAATGAGAAAGGTTATAGCTCCATTTCTGAATATTCTCCTGTTAGTCATGATCCAACTCAAGAACTAAATAGAAGAATTAATCTGCAAAATAAATCATCTAATGAGGATGAAGAGTATAAAGATTACAAATTAAATAAAGACAAGTCAAAGGGAAAAATCATTGAACAAGAAGAGAGAGCAATAAACAGTATCAAATGGAATGTTTATAGCAATTACATCAAATATGGATCCGGATATCTAACATCTGCTGGATTTAGTATCACATTTGCAATATTATTGGCCTTATCTACATTTCTTGAAATTTTCACAAATACTTGGTTATCGTTTTGGATTGCACAAAAATTCCCAGGAAGAACAAATGGGTTTTACATTGGGCTTTATGTTATGTTTAACGTCTTGTGGGTCATAATGTTAACCTTCACATTCATTTTCCTAGTTACTGGTACAACTATTTCATCAAAGAATTTAAACATATTGGCTATAAACAGGGTCTTACATGCACCTATGGCATTTATGGATGTTACACCAATTGGGAGAATTTTAAACAGGTTCACTAAAGACACTGATGCTTTAGATAATGAAATTACGGAGAATATGAAGATGTTTTTTCAAGCATTCGCTAAAATGATTGGTATTCTTGTTTTGCTAATAATATATTTGCCTTGGTTTGCATTGGCATTACCGATTCTATTTGTTTCGTTTATTTGTCTTGCTAACTTTTATCAAGCTTCCAATCGAGAAGTTAAACGATTAGAAGCTATTTTGAGATCTTTTGTTTATAATGATGTTAATGAAATACTAAGTGGTGTGAGTACCATTAAGGCATTTAATGGACAAGAAAGATTTGGTTTTACTGAGTAATGATTTATTGAATCGAGCAAATGAAGCTACCTATGTTGTTAATGCTAATCAAAGATGGTTAGGTATTCACTTGGATATATTAGCAAATGCTGTCTTGTTAATAGTTTCATTACTTTGTGTTAATAGAGTGTTTCATATTAATGCAGCTGCTGTTGGGTTATTAATGAATTATACTTTACAAGTTACTGGTGAATTAGATAATTTAATTAGAACATTCACACAACTTGAAAATGATATGAATTCAGTTGAAAGAATTATTCATTACGCGTTGAATTTAGATCAAGAAGCTGGTTATGATTCTGGTAAGATAACTACTTCAAATTGGCCTGGTGATGGATCAATTGAATTTCAACAAGTTAATATGAAATATAGACCTGGATTACCTTTGGTTTTGAAAGATCTTTCCTTACAAATTAAACCACAGGAGAAGATTGGAATATGTGGAAGAACAGGTGCTGGTAAATCATCCATAATGACTGCATTATACAGATTATCAGAATTAGATTCAGGAAAAATTTTAATCGATGGTGCTGATATATCTTTACTAAATCTTAATGAATTGAGATCTCATTTATCTATCATTCCACAAGATCCTGTATTGTTTAATGGTACTATCAGATCTAATTTAGATCCATTCAAAGAAAAAAATGATGAAGTATTATGGGAATCTTTAAGAAGATCGGGTTTATTAACTACTGAAGAAATTTCAAAAGCTAAACTCATACCAAAAGATGCAGAAGAATTACCAAAATTCCATTTATATCAATCAGTAGAAGATGAAGGTGAGAATTTTTCATTAGGAGAAAGACAATTGATTTCATTTGCAAGAGCATTAGTTCGTGATTCATCAATATTATTCTTAGATGAAGCTACCTCCAGTATAGATATTTCAGCAGATAAATTAATTCAAGAAACTATACGATCAGAGTTTAAGGAGAAGACAATATTAACTATTGCTCATAGACTACATACAATTATTAATTATGATAAAATATTGGTAATGGATAAAGGAACGTTAAAAGAATTTGATACTCCTTGGAATTTGTTTAATGCTGAAGGGTCTGTTTTTAGGGAAATGTGTGATAAGTCTAATATTGTTGCTGAGGATTTTGAGAAGAGAGGTTGATTTTTGGTTTTTATTTCAAAATAGATTTAGTTTATAGAATTTAATATATTTATTAGTATTTATTCAACTGTTCTTACTTATCTTTTTATAAGCTTTGCTTTATTCGTATGTACACTTCTAAGTGGCTAAAGGTTTAACAAATTTAGATCCGAACTCTGAAAAGTATGTTGCTTTGCTGTTAGCTTTAGTGCTCTGGATCATCATGGAACTTTTGTTACAATTTACATTTAAGTCAACATTATAGTATAGGCTTTATAGCTCCGCTCACGTGTATTAGTATTCAACTATTGAGTCTAAACATTGCAAATACGTATAAAATGGATCAACAAATAAGGTAGTCAGGGATTTAAGCAAAATGGAAAGGCAAATGAGTTTCAAGTGGGGCTATCTCTGCTTAAGTTGAACCTGTTTTAGGTAGACTAAAGTCTATATGGTAATAACTTGTACCCGAAATACACTACTTTTTCTATTTTGCAGCTAAAGATTAGCATAACAATTATTTTGCAGTCATATATGCAGATCAAATTTTTAAATATTTTGGATATTTAGTACTCCTTTTTCTTCTCCAATTGATCACCAACTTCTACTTTTATTCATACTACTTTTATCCATATTACTTTTAATCATACTACTTTTATCCATACAAATGTAGAACTATTTATTTATTTATTTACTAACTTCAGATTTCTAGTTCATTATCAATTGAGAATTATTTGTGAGACATTTCACCCACTCAAGTATGAGAATTACCTGAGTTGACTACCTGAGACGTTTTTCCAACCCAATGGACAAATAAATGATATCATTAGACGTGAGACCCAACCTTTGGAGACAAACTTAACTAAATGACTGGACTATGATTTAGATTAGACACTGGAGTGAAGCAAATGAAGCAAGTTAGATATTTGGTGCTTTGGATAATTGACTGACAATCCTTTTTGGCTTTGAAGCTTGAGATACATGAATGTGAGTAGGCAGGTTGTCTGGTAGAGATAGATATTTGATCTTAAATTATCTTTGATTGAGTTCATTTCACATTATCACGAAAATACAAGGCAATTGAGAAGACTAAAGATAGCCCAAAAAACTGAGAAAATTAGAAACAAACTAGCTCCAATCCGACTTTAAACTAGCGGCTAATAAATGGAAAAAGGTCAATAAGATTGAAAAGCGGGCCAAAACCACCCTGAACATTCTTTATTCAGAAATAGACAGCTTAAAGTTTATAACATGAACATACAAATATGTTTCAAAAACCGCTACCATGTATTTCAAATTTGTACATTTTGCACGCCAAAAAGTTGCAAATATAAACATATAAGAACTTAGATACACCAAAAAAAAGTCCAAACCAACATGCATAAGTACTTAATAATATCCATTTTGACAATTAAACCTATTCAATATTGGGATTCATACTCAATTGCTTACATCCATTTAACAAATTTGTGACTATTGATTCTTGGGAATTCAATTGGGTACGATTTTAAGTACTACCTTAAAGCTAAAATAGACTTCAGTAAATCTGACAAATCAGCACACTAACTGAAGTCACAATAATTAACAACAGCTGAACCATAAATACTCAGTGATAATAATGTACCCTAAAATCCTCAAATGGGGGAGTTTACAGCTGTCATCAAGTTATTGTTGCAAAATTAATTAACATGTACTAGCAGAGCTTCAGCAATTACATAATTTAATACAAATATGAGCTTTAGTGATGGATACATGTTGCCTATTGGTTCTTGATGGTACTTCGAGTTCTCAATATGGCTAAAAAGTCTGTAGATCTACCCCCTAAAAAATTTGAGGGTTTTTCAATTTGCGCCTGGACATTTCACTTTTTTTTCTTCAAATCCTTTTATTGCATTTACGAATAGCCTTACCGTTCTTCATTTTAATGCACGACGTCTTATTAATGAAACTCCTCTGGTTGTTGAGATATTTAACAAAACGTCTAACTCACTCAAATTAGCAGCTACGGCTCTGGAATTAACTCCAAAAAAGATTCTTGAGTCAACTAGCTCAAATCACAAGTCAAATTGTGGATAGCTTCTGTAGTCTGGGAGAAAAAGGCCAGTTTTAGAAGATGCCATGTTCAAAGTTAAAATAACACAAAACCGGATTTAAAGCTCCTTTCACATGCCTGTCTCTACAACTCATTCATAATTTATCAATTCGTAGAGCATCGGCTGTTTTAAACCATATAATTTACAACAAGATACCTAATTAATTTACAAATAATATATGAAAAGTAAGTTCTTAAGTGTATTAATATATATATATATATAAAGTTTATCACAACAACTCATTCACCATTAGACCAATAATCAGCATTTCATAAATTTCAAGTTTCAAGGGCTTTGACTAGTTTTTCTTCTAGATAAAATTCTTAAAAACTCCTTTTTAGTATAAACAGGTAATTGTTCACATTTTTTAATGAATTTGTCTAAAGACAAGTCTTTTCTTTTTAAATATTGATCAAAAATTGAAGCTAGTTCATAAACTATATTATTATCAATGATTTGTTCAATTTTCATATTCTGATATTTTTCATCCATTCCTGGTAATACATCTTCAATTAATTCAATTATTAATTTATGTCTGTTATAAAATTGAAAATCAACTATAGTTTTAATCCAACCAATTCCATTATACTTATTATTTCTTTTTACAATTAGTGACCATTCTTCAACTACTTGAGTTATTGTTTCAATGTTTCTATTCATTACAAATTTGGGGATTGTATCATTTGTTTCTGGCAAAATTTCCAATTTTTGACGTTTACTAATAGTTGACTCTTTATCTCCAATACTTTTATGATGTGGTAAGTAATTCTTATTTGATCTAATTTGAGTTTCGTCATCTTTTTTGTCTTTTGGTTTTGGAAATTCATCATCATTTCCATCTTCGTCATCGTCGTCATCGTCATCATCAAATTCGAAATCATCATCATCGTCTTCGACTCTTGATTCAATTCTATGATACATAACTTTTGAAGACCCTTGAGTTGGCTCATCAATTGTAGTGTGAATTTGTTGAGGTGCTTGTTCTTCATATTGATGTTCAACCACTCTTTGTAATCTATTTTTGTTCTTGTCTTCAATTGATTTATCACCACCTGAACTGCTACTTGTTGTTGAAGTTGTGGATTCAAACACATCTGGTCTTGAACTATATGAATGAAAAACAGGTTTTGGTTTACTTAATAATGGAATTTGTGCAGCTAAACCTTGTTTTCTTCTTGAGGATTTTGTGATTTCACCACTACTTGTTTGATCTGATGATGAAGAACCAACGTTTATTTGATTTAATGGTTCACTTGGATAATTCAACTGTGGTAAACTTGTCTCAGCAGATGAAGTTGAAGCTCCAGATAATGTGTCAGCTCCATTTCTACTTGTACTACTTGAACTACTTGTTTCAACAGCATTAGATGCGTTATTTGTTGGCCCTGACGCGGCAGCAGTTTCAAAACTTGCTTTAGTTTCTTTATCAACAGCAGCTTGACTTGTTTCTACCACATCATCAGTACTTGTAGCAACCCTATTATTTTTTGCACCATATTCTTTTAAAAAATTTTTAACAACATCAATATCTTCAATTGTTTTAGGTAATGCAGGATTTAATTCAACATTCAAATTATGTAATCTGTTAAATCTACTTAAGATCTCTGTTAATTTTTTAGATGAAATAGTTGGAGTTCTTTTAATTATATCTTCAACAAAAAATTTTTGAATTAATTCACCAGTTAAATTAAAATTATCTAAATTTAATTTTTCACTAACAAATAATGCATATCGGTTAAATTCATTTGAATAAATTTTTTTACTCGTTTCAGATAATCCATTTAAAATATTTGTTGTTTCATAATACCCTTTTAATTTTTTAACTAATTCATTATCTTCATCTTCATCATCTTCATATAAAATACTTTTTTCATCAATAATATCTAAATTATCATTTGTTTCATTTTCAGTATTTACATTTGTGATTGGATTTGAAATTGTATTCATATCAGTATTTGAATCTAAAGTATGATGATTGTTGTCTAAAAATTTATTCATCATAAAAATAATATCACCTTCAGAATATTCTAAATCATAAGCTAAACAATTTAATTGATGCAATTTTAATAAACTTGTTCTTAAATTTTTAATCTTATTTTTCTTACTCTTCTTGGTCTCAAATGTTAAAAATCTAGTTAATATCCCTTCTTCTATTAAAAAATCACTTTTACCTTTTCTTGCACAAAATCTGATAAATCTTTTGATATCTGTTGCATAAGATTTGAAGGTATTACCAGTCAAATTTGATAAAATGTCTTGAGTTTTACTATTCTCTAAAACTTCATCATTGAATTTGAGTAAAAGCTTTGATTCTTCTTCTGTAATTCTATGTTTCAAACTTTCGCTTGTCTTGAAAATTTTTGATGGTAAACTTTCGCTAGTATTTGACGAAGAAGATAAGGTTGTTGTTGTTTTGTTTGAATCTTCAAAAGTGGATTGAGTTTGATCTGGGGGTTCAAATTTTGTTTGAGGAGTATTTGATTCTGTTGACGATAGATTGGACTTGTTAACATTTGATGACGAAACTGATGTTGTTGAAGTTGATGTATTTGATTTTGATCGATTAGAATCAATTAAATTAAATAAAGTTGAATTTCCACTTGAATTTCCACTACCCCCACCACTATTTGTACCAGAGTTTCCTTCTTTCAATTTTTGTGGTTGGCTTAATTGATTTGGAGTTAATGGTTGAGGTAATTGTGATTGTTGGGAAACCTGCTGCTGTTGTTGTTGTTGTCCTAATTGTTTTGACATTATACTTTTAATAAAGTTATCTCCCAAATATTCGTCTGGTTGTTGTGATAAATAAACTATTTTATTCATATAAAATAGCTTATTTAAAGGAGATCTAATACTTTTTACAGTATTTTCACTTAAAAATCCTCTTTTATTAATTTCAAATTCAATTAAAGAATTGACTCTATCCAATTTTATTAAAAAGTCATTATGTCCTTGTTTAGCACAAAATCTTATATATCTTTTAATTTGATATAAATATTTTTCTTTTGTTTCAAGTCTCAATTTTGTTAATACTGCTGTTGCGTCTGAATTTTGCATTACTTCATTTTCAAATTTTGAAAGTAATAACTTTTCTTCTTTGGTATGATTGTTATCTCTGAAAGTGAATAGTGTTTCAGGTGCTCTTAATGAAATCAATTGATCATTTGACTCATTTACCCTTGTATCTGACAA